TCACCTCTTTTTTTCGATCGTCACAGTGGTGTTAAATCCCCCTTAAATCGGTTTGATCGATTATTTATTTAAATAATATTCATGTTTTAATTAATTTATTCATTGGTTTTTTTTTTAATATTAATTTCTTTATATATTCTAATATTTTTTATAATTTAAATAAAAATAAAAAATCAAGATTTTTTTCTCGGAAATAAAATTCATTGTTAAATCAGTGTACGCAAAAAATACATTTTTATCCAACTTAACACATTCCTAGAAAACATCACATTTCAAATGTCCAACACAATAAAATAAAACTTGAGGTCTCAACTTCTGTCATAATTTAAAACAACTATTTTATACACATATTTCAAACACCTACATATGTTTCATTTAAAATTTTCTCAAGTATCAAATGACGTTTAGGATCACAAAAGTTACAAATATGTCGTTGTCACAGGTTAAATTTAAATTATCATCATTTAGTGCTGATATGATCAACTCAATTATTTTCAGTAAGCCCACAATTGTTAGAGATAAATTTACAAATAGGAATTCGTTTTTCACATCCGCTGTCTATACGTTAGATAACTATCTGGTCACCTAGAAAAAAAAATAAAAAATTTCATAGTGCAGGTGTTCTCTCATACATGATATTTGTTTGCTTATAAGATGAAGTTACTTATTCGGTGAATTGAACCATACTTTATCGCTTGTAATTATGCAAATTTCCATTGGATCGAAGCTTTAATGTATAAAGAAATATACTTCAGTAAATAGGCCTAGTAAAGAACAAGAGGACCCCCTACGTTGGCAGTTTATTCATTCATCAATTTAATCATATAACTTCTTCAATACAATTGTATACTCAAGTATACATAAGTCAGTAGTTACCTGTTGCTGAATCTTTTTATATACACATGACATCACTCATTCTTGTTTGATAGCGCGTCTCTTCCTTCTGTAACACGATAAACAAAAAAAAAAAAGTGTAATCAATTGAAATCTAAATTTGATTTTTGTCCTTCTGTCTACACACCTGCATAAAATTTCAGAGATGCCATTTATTTGAATTCCTTAAAAATATGTGAATAACTTGAAAAATATAACTTGATTATTAAATATTTGACAGTAAGTAGGAATTATAGGACATACATTTTCTTGGCATATTTTTAATAAAAAGTATTAGTTGTTTATATAAAGAAATCTTTCAAATAAGAAATTAAATTATGATGTGTTTTATTTAAAAATCATAATAAAAAACAAATTAATAATTAATGAAGTTATTTGGTGAAAAGGATTTTTGAATCCTTTCTCATAAAATATTTGAATAAATATGTAAATATACTTTCTATCTCTTCGAACGAATCAACTGATATGAATGACCCTTATAGAGATTATAGAGTAGAGTGTGGCTTCATCAAAATTAAGTGGCAGTATTAAGCTACTCGGTCGAGTATATTTTGATAAAAAATAAAGGTAAACTTTATTTGAATAGCTGAATAAATTACAATTTCGTAACCATAAAATTTTATCGACTCACGCCACCTCGATTTAAAAAAAAAAAAATGTTTTTTAATATACAAAACAAAATTTTTTTCTAATTAACAACTATTTGTAAGAAGTATATAAGTTTCTTAAAGAAAAAAGTATAAATTTTTTAGTCGATAAATTAAAAATATTATTGTTAGCAAAAATAAAAAGAGTACAAGGCATAGTATCAAAGCTCATTAATTCGTAATATTATTAAATATTCATTGTTATAGGCTTGTTGATTTGAAATTTTCAATTCCAAAATTAAAAATAAAAGATTTGTAAAAACTCATCAATTAAAATTTCTTTGTTCAATAATTTATTATGTAAGATTCTTCGGAAATGCAAAAAATTTTAAAACATTTTTTTGTCTAAAAATCTATAAAATAATTTTTTTTCAACAATGAATATTTCTAATATATTTTACACATCTAAACTGACCCTATTTCCCTTATCGGAAATTTTGTGTTCTATAATTTGATTCCAAAAACATTGTCGAGAATTCTAACATATCAAAACGATTACAAAGAAAAGATTATTTTTCAATTGATTTTGAATGTTTACAATCGATAATTTTAACGTGAAAGTAAAAGGATGTTTTTGAGGTAAAAAAAAAAAAAGCGGTAAATTAAAAGTCAACCCATAGAGTCAACTGGTTATTAGATTTGGTTTTTGACTAAAAACTATTATTTGAGAGGGCAAAACTAAAAATAAAGTAAGATTTCTTTTTTTTTTAAATAAATAGACGTATATAATACTTGTACTCAGTATTCATTTTTGCCAGATGACGCTTAGCGACCAGATGGGCAGGTGCCCTGTAATACGTCCCACACTCAAATGAAACTCTCATATTCCGTGTAGTTGATATGCACAATACATGCTGATAAGTATGTAGTATGTAGTGAATACATGTGCAATGTACTATAAATGTATGTAGTTGTAGACTTAAATGTATGATAGTAAGTTGAATAACTTTGCACTAGTATAAATGAGTTTATAAATACGTAAATGGTACATTTGTGTGACGTATATATATAGTGGGAATCTCACATGTAAAAATATACTGCTCGCGTGCATTTAGTAACAGCCTGTATGCAAATGAATGCGTTTTTATACCTTACAACGACAATAGTTCACTCATACGTGCATTTTTTTCTCTTTCTATTATTCTTTCTGTTTTACTTACTGGCATGCTCCCCCTTCGCGCGGAACCGTTAAAAGTTAAAACCTGCTGGCTCCCAAGTGTGTGAACGCGTTTTTGGAGTTATACACAACTTTTCGCCAACAATTGTCGTACTGACGAAAATTATAAGGGGTTTATTTTTTGGGGAAGATATACCTCACTCTCGTTACTCCTGTTAGCAACCATTTACTTTTCAATTGATAAGGGTGATGATGTTGACACTACACTTGTTCATTCATGTAATTGTATTGAATTTATCGTTTATGCTTTTTCCACAGACTTTCTACTTTCATACATGTGTATCTTTTGATTAATTGCGATCTGATACGTTTTTTTGTATTACAAAAAATTAAATTATAAATTTTAACAGAAAAAAATTTATCCCTTTAGAATATATATCTTAAACTATTCGCTATTTTCGAGCTTTTAAATTTTATCAAATTTAATTCTTGATAAGTTTATTAGAATTCCGTAAGAACGATCTTATCGGTTAATTCATTTTAAAGATATTGCATGATAAGGAGAAGTGTACATGTACACACGTACGGATATTGATGTGAAAATAATTAGAATAGCTTCCTGAGACCTTATAACTTTGAGATCTGGCGTTTTCAAATTTTTTATTTTTTATTTTAATGTCATTATTGATTTTTAGTGTAATATTTACAATGAAAATATATTTATCATTGTGGTGTACATAAAATTTCTCATGATCATAAATAAATATTTTTAGGAAGATCGACTCTAAAGTTTTTATAATATTAAAAAAATAGGTTGAAGTAACTCATAATACTTACGAAAAAAATGAAACTAGCCAAGATCTTTAGCATTTATGACTGTTGGTGTAATTATATTCCAATTTTTATAGACTTTTTTAAGTAACTTAAGTTTTTAACTTCATAAGGGTACATATATATTATTTCAGGCGATCAATATCATATAAGTGACAATATAAATCAATCAAAATATTTTTTCTATAAAATCGACTTAAAGTTATAATTTTTTTTGGAAATATTAAAGTAAATAGTAGGTTATTTGACATCAAGGGAGTAAAGTGTGGAACAAACTAGTCTAGCCTACTAAGTCTACCAGTAGGCGTGAAATTGTCTACCGGAACCGAAGACGAAGGTGGCTATAGGTAAAACTTGAGAATTGAAATTTTACACAGCATAAAATTTTTCGTCAATTTTAATACATAAATGTGTGAAAAATTTAAATAAAAAACAGATCGATTGAACATCACAAACATTTGTATGAAATTAACACACTAAAATGTTAAATATTCGATACCAAGACTTTTACACTTTACACAATAACGAAAAATTTTTTATAACATTTTTTTTATAGCGTGCAACTTTTCAGTATACCTGTAAACGAAGGTTTAAAATATTTATTATTATTTGTGGAAATGTTATTGCAACTGCCAACTCTTTTCACTTATTGACTGGTTGAAGTGCTATTTCCTTTATGTTAGACGGGGTCATATTTTTCTTAACTTTTAGTGCGAGAATGTTTAAAAAATATGTAATGTTGTTAAAGGCAATTTTATTACATACGCTAAAAATAATAAATTGTTAAATTTGAAAATATTTTAAATTTTCTTTCTGAAAAGTTAAAAGGTAATGATAAAATTTCGTTGCGTTACATCATCAAAAAATATTCTTTGATGTTAAAAGAACACCGTAAAAAAATTAAACATGCTTATTTGACTCGCATGTGGATTACGAGAAGAAATAGGATGTGGGCGTAAAATACCCACTTTCTGGAGGTCCTTAATGCGTGGATCCTATACCCTCCGCAACATCCGGAAAAAATAGAGGAAATTTTTGTTTTTTAGATACAGCATAAATTCATGTAAAATTAAAGTATTAACATATAAATAAAATATTCAAAAATGTAATTAAAACAACAACATCCCAAAATTTTACAAATTAACGATTTTTAACGGATCGTTATAAAATAGTACTGTTATAAGTCTGTCGATGATCTACATACATCAATAAACTCATTGTTTTTTGTAACGGTATCTACTTTATTCTAAGAAATAAATTGTGCAAAACAGATGTAGTGGTCAAAATTTCCAGTTACACAAAAAGAAACGGTTTTAAAAAGATCATATTGTTGACGCAAATGTTACTCAAAGATGAATGTCTTCCGGGTATAAAAGATCCTTCCATAAATATCTAACATATTCTTCTGTCACGGTTATTTAAGGATAAGACTATATTATTACTCGGCTTTTTTCACTGGATATATATTTTGTTTTCGTTTCATTGTCGATGCATTTTCTGAGTAGTCAAAAATGTTAAGTTTCCGTTTATCCAATCACAAGACAAACGTGTTAACTCGTAAAACCGAAAAAATTCAGGTGCACAAATTCTAACCCTCCTTCACTATGTACGTATTTTCTGTTCTCATCAGTTTCACCTGTTTTACTGTTTCCCTTATGCTACGACAGGTGCTCATCTATTGTAGCTATACAATCTTAGCTCTCTATAAGTCTCCGTCTTGAGGTATATATTTTTTACAGAAGATAATTAAATGAATACTTGAAATCCTCTTCTTTGGCCTGTCCACATCTTCGATTTCATTACGCCCATTCAAAATAAAGATACAATGTTTCAAAACACAACATAGGGTACATCATCGTGAGTTTGCATTATCAGAAATAATTTTTCTCGTTAATTTGTCAATCTTACATTAGAATATTTAATTTTTTTTTTATAAATTGTTAATAATTTTTTATCAGAAAATTGAATTGCAATAATTGTTTATAATCACTTTCTAGTCTACTTTTGGTCATAGAAACCGAAAAAAACCAATAGTATTTATTTTTTTTTTTAATCATATATCATTTATCGCTTATTAATTAAAAAGAAATTTTTTTTGGAAAATATTAATTACGAGCCGACCCGTGCGAATATTTCACACAATTTCGTAATCGAATAAGAAGTGTTTATTTTTTAACGTAGAATTGAGGCTGTTATATATCTATAGATATATCGCATTACTGTCGTTGAAAAAAGAATATATTTTTCATTAATAAATATTTGGATTTGCTCATTTCCACGTTGTAATATGACCATTCATTTTTTCGTCAGGATATTGTGAGAAATATTTTGTTAATTACATTTATTTATAAATCAACCTTGTGGATAAAGCTTTTAACATAGTATTTCAAATAGTATTTGAATTTTCAAGTTTGGTAAAAACTGATAAAGAATAATAAGAATTAACTGATTCACCTGATCCTTATAGTATACTATTCTCTGAAAATATTCTCTGAAAAATCATTCATATTCATATATAGGTCTGAATAAAATTATTAAAAAATGCCATCTCTTCTTAGGTCAAATAAACATTTTTTATATACATATATTAAATATTTTATTTGTTAATTTAATCTTTTAGAAATGCTCAAGTGGACAGTATCCAGATCAATGTCAACCGCAAGTTCGACGTCCTATGTTCCACCTACAATGCACAAGACAACCCGTAAACCTTTTCGCGACCTTTCAAATACACCCCCTGCTGATGGAACAAGGTCAAAAGTCACACCACAAACAACAGTTGATGTAGATAATAGTAATCCATCATCTAAATCCACCCCAGGACGCCGGCGACGTTGTAGGAGTCACGGGAGTGATGTTCGTGCCTACTTTCAGGTAAATTATTATGATTTTACAACATAATTTGACAATTAATTTGAAACATAAAAATAGTAATAAGCAGTTTTAAATTTATAATCTAATTAATTTGCAGGCAACAAAACCACATACAAGGTCAAACAAGCGTCAATCAATCGCTAATGAAACCTTGGAATTGCCAAAGACGGAAAGTTCTTATCACAGGACACCTCGAATAGACACGGATATCGGTCCTTTGACATATATTCCAGATAATTATCACATTTCAAAGTGTCCTGTAGCACTAACTTTACCAACAGACCCTACTTCGTTACCTCATACTTATTCAAAAACGTTTCATCATGTTAATAATAATAATAATGAACTACCTCAAAACGTTATGAATGAAGCACGTGCAAATCTTCAGTCACATGTGTCTGATTTCTTTCAGCAAATATCTGTTGCTGGCAGCCCTGAAGATGTCATGGAAGCTGGTTCTGTACCTTTATCGAGATCTAGGTTGTTCTTTAGGAATATTGATAGAATGAAATCGAGCTCAAGCCCTGAGGGTAAACCTCTTTGTTATCCAAAATTAGCAAAAATAAGTAAACTACATGCAAGATGTAGAACACCGTATCATACAAAAGCACCTCAATTTAAATTGAGAGAAACTCCACTTGCTAAAGAACTCGCAAGCTTGAAAATAGATCAAGACATTCCGAAATTTGAGAATATGGATAATACTGTTACGGAGATTCTCAATAAACAACAGCAAGAAACAAATCTTTGTAGCAATAAAATAGATGATGAAATTGATAAAAAGACGAGGTCAGACGGAGACAGTGTTCCAACGCGACTGCATCTAAATGATAAAGATAGTATAGATGATAAAGATACTTGTAAATTTATAGAAGAACAGATGATTAATGAAGATGAAGGGAAAGCTGATCACAATGATAGTTCAGTATCTTCAGCTAGTCAACTATTAGAAAATCCTTCACCGATATCTTGGGCATTTCGGTCTCCTTCTATCGATTCAGATGGAGAATTCACCCTCAAACGTCAGCGAGGAATTAGAAGAAAACGGCAACAAAAAGATCAAGGTATCAATAAAAGCTCTGGTAGCAAAAGGGCTAAAACTAGGTCTCAAAGTGTAAGTCCAGCGACCAGGAAAAAAATTTTGGAAGGTGATGAACCTCCTATTCAGGCTGTAAATCTTCACGTTAAAAAAATAACCCTCGAAACGGATTTGGATTCAATATTTGATGAAAAAATAGACTCAAAAATATTAAATCATTATCAAAAAAACGAAGAAACTAAAATGAACCTGTGGGATCTTGACAGTCCGAAATCGTCTTTGATAGATGATTTTCCGAGTTCTAAAAGCTCGTTTGTTCATTCTGCGAATGAAACCTCCGAAACACCGCTTATTGCAACTGTTAGACGATGTTTAAAATATAGTCCAGAAGTTGAAATACCAGAATCAAACTCCAGATCGTCTATTGAGTTAGAATATAACATCATTGGAGATTCTATTCACATCCGAGGTAAGTTGATTAGTATTTGAGAAATTAATTCTTTTTTTTAGATTATAAAGGAGTAAAAAAAAGAATGATAATCTTAATAAGTCATCATCAGTATTTGTAAATTTTTTAAAGTTTTATCTTACGTCATAGCAAACTTAAACCACTAAAGGGTGAAATATCAAAGTTGACACGTTCCTGTAAAAAATTTTGGCGTACATGCGCGACCACATGCAATCTATATTTGTCTGCTCTTTACTCACTCCTTTTTTTCATCTCAATTTTATCTTGCTATTTCTCTGAGAATATTTCGCTAGAATGATGGAGATAGAGACAAAATAGAATAACATGTGACTACGTTCCTGACTAACGTCATCGCGCAACCGCGGAAATACATTTTGCATCTTTTTCTTGGTCTCTTATCCTTTCTCATCCTCATGTCTTTAATTCTTCGTACTCTTGTAGTGAGTTCGAGGTAGTATCGTGTGCTAGTAACTTACTGATCTTCCCGCCGTCCCAATTCTGGTTAGTATGTTTAAAAATTATTAAATTTTATTATTAAAAGTCATATTTTTGCGTTGATTATTTTAAAATAAAGTTTTAAATTACTACTTAATATTGAAGCAATCAAAAAATAGAAAATTTATTATTGTTTTTCGTCGAAAAAATATAATGGCATTATTAAAATTTGACCTAAAAAGAATTTTTTTATAATTTTCTTCTCTAAAATGACTAGTTCGTAAAAAAAAATTAAAAGGGGTTGAAAGTGTGTGAAGGGCGCGGGAAGTAGATAATGCCGCATTGGATGAGCAAGTCAAGTGAAACAGTAGTGTGACGAGTGGTACAGTCGGACAAAACATTAAATGTTTTCAGCTCGTTATATCTGTCTTAGCCTTTGTTTCTCTCACATCATTTGTTTCATTGTCTTCTATTCTTATTCTTTATATATTTTTTAAAATAGCGTAAATCCAACTTATGACCTGCACATTATTATCTAATTTTTTTTATTATTTTTACTTTTTAATTATTAAGTTATTAAACTTTAATTCTAAATAATGAAGAATATTTTATTCACCAATTAATTCAAATTTTTTTTTTTTTCTCTAATTAGTAATACGCTGCAAGGATTTAAAACGTTCTTACGAAGGGCCGATTCACGCCTACGTAAAGGTGAGCTTAAAAAATCCAAATGGTGGAGGTGTAGTAAAAAGAACAGCCGTACACCGTGCAACACCAAATCCAGTATTCCATGAAACGTTAATTCTACCTTACCCAAATCACAACTGTACAGACAGATCTACGTCCTTAGATATTGCCGTTTGGCACCGAGATCGACGTGCAAGGTAATTATATTTAAAATTTACTATTAGTCACCTTATTCCAATTCTTTTTTAAAAATAAATTTTTTTTATCTCATAATATAAAAGAGTATACAAGTTATATCGTTGAATCTTTTTATAGCTCGATTGAAAATAATAAGTATGTACATAATATTCCATCAATAACGGCCGTTATATTTTCTTTGATCTTCTTTTAGTATTTTTACCGTGAGTTTTTCGTCAGGATATCCTTCGAACCGTGATATATAAGTCTTGGTGAATGGGTTCTTGTAATATGAGCGGGAGGGGAATCGATTGCCTGTTGAGGCATGCGCATGCTGTTTAACCCACGTGCGAAAAAAAAACCCGGTCACACTAATCTAAGAATTTCTTATCCTGATTAAATTTGTTTAATTGACAATAACTATTTTCGTTTAATTACAATCAACCAAGTGATAATAATCAACAAATTATATTTGATAATAAATTATTAATCAATGGTTAATTTAAAGACTCTTATACTATATGGTACGATTATAATGGAACTATTATTTTAACAAAATTCTTGCATGTTTCTAGACGCAGTGAGCTCCTGGGCTGCATGACTCTACCTCTACCTTTGGCACAAGACAAGGTAAAAATTATTATTATTATTAAAACTTATACTTATAACATAGTAGTATATTTAACGTTTATGTGTTGTTATTTGATTATTATTATGAGTCAAGAGGGAAGGAAATCTTACTAGTAATATCTACTGCATAAAGTACTAATTTGAATAAATATATACATGTATAAAGCTAACAGGCTTTTTTATCCCTCCTATCATGCATTCCTCCTCTTTCTCAGAGGTCAGGGCTGAGTCGATTATCCAATCAACATACCGCCGCAATATTTTCCGGTTACCTGCTTACACAATTGTGAGAATGTTTGTCTGAGACACAAGTTGAGTGTTACCCTCTTGATCAGATTCAATATTTTAAACAAAACACAGATATATCTAGTGACTTAATAAAGTTCAGAATTAATTGAGATATTAAAAAAAAGTCAAAATGATTGTCGTTGCAATTTATTGCGTCGCATTTTTCGTAGCCGGAGTATTATTAAAATGTTTTCAATTGACTGAAAAATGTTGATCCATTTAGTTGATTAAATTATCTAAGTTATTGAGCAAGGTACTTTATCTGGTATTTAGTTGGAAAATTTATAAAAAATTAACTTGAGTGATATTTGTTTACTTTTAAGGAAGCGACATGGCATCCTTTACAAGTCGGATCTGTTCGAAAGACAAGTACACCGTACGCAAAATTGTCTCAAGATTGTACGGTGTCACCACCTTTGTCAAAAGACGGGGATCATACAGATAACAATTCCAATGCAGATGACTTTACTTATCTTAGACATTTGGAATTAGAACCATTAGATCCGCTAACGGGGTTACCATTGAACCCTGGATTCACAGCTAGGGGTGGAAGAACTCCTTGCACAATCACTAGACGCTTAATTCGACAAAGTGGTGCTAAGCAGGTATTTTTAAAAAATATTTCATAGCAATGTTGTAAAATATAAATAGCTACTCATAATGATAACGATTAATGTGTTTATTTTTGTTATTTTATAGATTCCGTGGGGTTTCTCATTGTCTTGGGGTCGTCCTCCTCGAGTAGAACGTGTGGATCCAGGAAGCCCAGCTGAAAGGGCAGGTTTAATGCCTGGTGATCACGTTGTTTTTGTGGATACGACAAATGTAGTCACGCGAGCACGAGAAGACATACTAAACTTTATTCAAGCAGCTACTAATCAACTAATTCTTGAAATTTACCGCAAGTCAGGCGCACATGTTAACACGCAACGACCTAGTCTGGTGAATGTGACGCTACAACCTGCGCTAGATCAGCCCAATGGCCAGGGAGCGATCGCCTTCACCGCTGAGGTCGGTACAGGCGTTATAGTTTAGATTTCATTAAATTAATTATTAACTTTAACTTTATAATCCTTTCATTTCCACCTGAATTTATTATTTTATTATTATTATTATTATTATTATTATTATTATTATTATTATTATTATTATTATTATTATTATTAAAATAATAATATTAGTATTATTTATTGTCGCGATTTTAATGCGCATAAGAAATGCTGTGTTACTTTAATTATAAGTTGAAGCTTTTTCTTTTTGTTTATGATTAGCATTAATAAGTTTTTTTTATTTATTATTTATAATTAATTTTTTGACATTTCGTTTTTTTAATGCTTTTCAAGTTTCAAAAAAGTATACTACTAGAATAAGAATATAAAAGTTGATCTATAACGAAATTAAAAATGTATTAAGTGTTCAGTGGATAATTAATGGGTCCTAAAATTATACACTGTGTTATAAATTTTGTTTTTAAGTTATTTTTATTAAGTTTTAGCTGTTTATCTTATTAACTAATAAGTTATAAAGATCGTTATTTAAAAATAATTTTACGATTGTCGACGTTTTTATTTATTTTTAAATTAAGAACGAATTAAAACAAACTATTGTATGTTTTTACAGAGCTTATTAATAATAATTGTAGGAATTATTATATTTTGTTATTTTTGCGAGTTATAAATTGTTTTGTCCAAAAGAAAAAAAGGTGTTTTGTAAACACATATTTAAAACTATTATTCAACGATACTTAATATATAATTTCAATTGAAAAAATTCATAATCAAATCGCGAGAGTGAGAACATTTTGTACTTTTGTTTTTATTTATTTTTTTTTAAGTTTTTTTGTTGCCAACAAGTATTTTATTTATTTTTCAAGTAAATAATTTTGTCTTATTTATCATACCTATTCCTTTTTTCAATCCCTAAACTCATCATAGTTAAAATAAACAGTAATGAAACTACTGTAAATGCATGTGTTTAAAATACATTTTTTTAGGATACAACTTTTTAAAAAAAGGATAAAAACTAAGAGTGTAGTTCAGCAACAAGAGTACAGTAGAATAGTCGTCGGAAGTTATTTATAGTGGTAACTTTTGTATAAAATATGTCAATAGTATCATTTCGATTTTTAGAGATACTTTAATTCAATTCTAAGTAGCTGAAAACAGAAATCACTAGATATGATCATTTGGCGAATGAAACAGAGAAATAAAAAAATCCATTGGATTTTAATAATTTATCAATGAAGTAAAAATTACATAAATATAAAAAATCTAATGATCTTTTTTTAAATTTCCTTTATTTTAAGTCGCTTTAACATCAATAATTTATTTATTCGGTTGATGTGAAAAAAAAAATAAAATTTCACACATTAACTTTTGATTCAAATATCTTCCTTCGATTTGGCCCCTCTTTGATGAATATCTACTGCAATTGATAATTTATTTTACGTGACAGATTTTCAATAAAGTAACGATTCCGTAAAACCGACTTTTCGAAATTTTTTAAAAGAATATGATTCAAGATTATTTTTTAAATAATAAAAAAAAATCAATTTAATTTTCATTTAATATCCAAAGGAAATTGAATGCCAAAAAGCTGTTAAGCAAAGCATAAAGTCTTTTATAATTAAAAATCATGCTAAAAATAACTTATTATTAAGCTCCTGATATTTAAAATTTGCATAATTAAATATTGCACAAGATATTAATATGAAGGTAGAAAGTTTTAAAGTTGCTACTTGTTTAAACTGACATAATTTAATTTATATAGGCATTTCCGCACTATTTTATTTAAGAAAAAAATTAAAAACAAACTTTTTTTTAAACTAATTTTTCTTGAAAAAAAATTGATCCTGTAGACCAGCTACATACTTTAAATGTTATTAAGATAATATTTAGAATCAAAATCTTCGAAAGAGGTTCTATCGAATTATATTATTAGAATAAAAATTATTTACAAATTTTTTGAATGCTAATTAATTAAAAAATATCTCGATAATATTGTCGTTCATATGGTTGATATTATCTGCATAACGCAATAATCATCATGTTTAATATTTAAACTCACATAGTTTAAATGATCATATCTATACGGTATTAATAGAACTAACAAAGGAAAGAAGTATATTTAGAACCGCGTCTAAAATTGATTATAGCATACTATAACTACCCTTAAAAGTTATAATCTTTGAGATTAATTAACAGACAAGTATGGCATGCGCATATTTAATTAAAATTTTTAGAGATTCGATTATTTTACTGACGAGTGATAATTTAATATTGCATTTGTGTAGTTTAAAAAAAAATGATCATAAACCATCCTGAGTACGTAGAATCTCGTAGGTATTTCCACACATTTCACCTGATGCTCCACCGGAGGAGGAACTCAATGTGAGAGAAGCTCGATACTGGGGAGCGTTAAAAAGCGGTATAACTCGGTTTTGCGTACCATTGGCAGAACGCCGTGATATCCTTTCCGCCACTGATCATGCAATTCTATTTCAAAACCTGGATGAACTGCTGAAGTTATCAGAAGAGATAAAAGACGAGGGTGGTGATGTAGAAAGTTATTTAACTCGGATACCACGAATCACTGCAAGTTACCGTAGATACTTGAGTGGTCTCCAAAGAGCTTGTTGTCTGCTTGTGGCATTAAGAAGGAATTCAGTATTTGCGAAGCTGGTATGTGAACCAGCCGTTCCGCATAAACGTCGCCCTGATATAACTGGAGTCTTATTGCTTCCGTTGGAGCACTACAGGTGAGGATGACAAGTGTTGATGTCAACAAGATGGCTCATACACTCATCTATTTATTAATCAGAGAGATGACGAGACTACTCGGCCTAGCTTCACCAAGGAACTGCCAGCAAGCTAGAGATCTGGCTCAAGGTTATCGAGAAGCCACTGCTAATGCTGGAGTCATGGAACCTCCGAGGGATACTGGGAGGCCTTTGTTAAGTCTCCAAGAAGTTGAATCCCGATTGGTGTTTGCTAGATGCAGGCCTTTCACCCTTGCAATGCCCGGCAGACAATGGTTTGTTTGTCATTGTCATCCTACCATCCTTATTATTTCGTTTATTAGTATTTAGTCATACTTATTTTAGTTATTAAACAGTAGAATTTATAAGCACTCTAAAATTATATAGAAAAAAAAAACAATAATAGTTATAGTTACCATAGAATAGAATAGAAGTGTAGTAGTAGCATCATATAGTCACAATACAACATACATACATACATGAACATGAATATTAAAGTGCCGTAAAGAAATTGTTTTTTTTTATTTCTGAGTTCAATAAAAAAATATTAAAATCCTTCTCAAAGAATCCTTCTCATCAGGTTTAAAAAATTTTCACACGTCGCTCAAGATTTAAAAATATTTCCAAAATCGTCATAATTTTAATCAACTATAAAATAATCTAACATCAATTTTTTAGTAATCAATACTCTTATAGAAAATTAAAGAGTGATTTTAGAAAGTTATTGACAAAAATCTTCTATGGTATTTTGAGAAAAAAATTTTTTTTTTATCCTTTACATGACCGCGCTTAATCTTAAAATTTTTTATGTTTATAATAATAGATATTTCCCAAATTTCATGTCTATCTTTTCATTCTTAAAGTTTAGCCAAGATTTTTTCAATTTGTAAAGCAGTGTACTTTAAATATTTTTGAGTAATTTCAATCACACTGACAAAAAAATTAACTTGATTTAAAAGAAAAATTCATGAACTAAAATGTTCTTGATTCAAGTAAATTTTACTTGATTTAAGGGGTTATATACAGTTAGAAGGCCGAAAAAAAGCAAATTTTCCAGAATTTCTTCTGAGAAAACTTTTAAATTTATTGATCTAAAAATTTGTGCACACATTATGGTATCTTTTAACTGTATTTTAAGACTTAGTATTAGTAAAAATATTTATTTGGAAAGGAGCTACAGCTGATCTCCGGGAGCTCCTCTCAAAAAAGATGTTTTGCGGTGACTATTATATCTCTGAACTGAATCCTCTGAAATTAAAAAACCGAACAGATTTCGTTAAAGTAATGTTAAGTCTAGTAATTAATCGAAGGAATAAGCAAAATAAATTTTTTTGACAAAATAGCGGTTTCTAAAAAAAAAAAAAAAAAAATCGATTTTTGACCAAAATTTCGGCCTTAAATTGTTTATAAATAAAAAAAAAATTTATCAGTGAGAAAAAATCTTCGATTAATTACTGAAAAATATATTTAAGAAGCTCGTGTTAAAATTTGAGACTAATCGGTTTAGCCGTTTTCGAGTAATGTTGGTCTGGTCACCGATTTTGTAAACACCATTTTGAGAAAAACGCGTTTGAAGTTTGAAAAGCACTTTACATAGGATACAAATTTTTTTTTTTTATTTGCGTGTAACTTCGAAAATATTCACCGGAACGATATGAAATTTTCTGTGTGTATTCTTAAAAAAAAAAAAAAAAAAATCGATTTTTGACCAAAATTTCGGCCTTAAATTGTTTATAAATAAAAAAAAATTTATCAGTGAGAAAAAATCTTCGATTAATTACTGAAAAATATATTTAAGAAGCTCGTGTTAAAATTTGAGACTAATCGGTTTAGCCGTTTTCGAGTAATGTTGGTCTGGTCACCGATTTTGTAAACACCATTTTGAGAAAAACGCGTTTGAAGTTTGAAAAGCACTTTACATAGGATACAAATTTTTTTTTTTTATTTGCGTGTAACTTCGAAAATATTCACCGGAACGATATGAAATTTTCTGTGTGTATTCTTAAATATATGTACATTAAGAAAATAAAATAAAAAAAAAAATCGATTTTTTGAAAATTCTAACTGTATATAACCCCTTAAGGATTTTTGTATTTGATTCAAAATCTTTTCTTTTAAATCAGAGCATAAATATTAAAAAATTTTCAATTTTTTAACTAAAAGTTAACCAATTAAATAACATAAATAAAATATGATATAACATACTAATAAAAAGTATAAACCTATTACTACGGAAATTTAATTGACAAATTTTTAGTCGGCATCTATTACCAAATCGACTGCTTAATAATTTGAGCTATTTTATTCTGTTCCCTCTAGAAATGAAAATGTTGACTTTAAATTTTCAAAATACTCATATTATTAACATAAAAAAATTGTAAAATTATGAAAAAAAATTAATTTTTTATGATTTTGATTATTTTTAAAAATCTTGAATGATTTTGAATCGATCTGATTATTAAAAAAGTCTCTTAAAATGCAATAAACTAACTTCGGAGTCTTGAGAAAGATATTTTCGAGTTTTTTCACCACCCTATTAAATATTAATATTAGTAATGAATAAAATTAATGAATACTAATAATAGTAATAATATTAAATATTTTTGAAAAGGTTATTCGGTGGAGCCCTGGTAAAAGTAGAAGGTCGTCGACTTCAACCATCATGGGCACTTTTGTTGAGTGATCTACTGGTGTTTGCGCGTGTCTCACGTGATCGTGTACTTTTTGTGACGGAAGAGCCACTTCGCTTATCAAGTATCGCTGAAGCATGTTTTACCGTACGTAAACGTCCTACTGAGTTTCGTTTACAAGTATCAATTACACCTAATGGCAGTTATGAAAACGGGCATATAGATGCAATGCAAAGTGGTGGATGTAGTCCCCATAGTCGTCCTCGCAGACGTATTCTTATTTTACGTGCACCTACTCCTGAGCTCAAAGCAGTATGGCATAATCTTTTACAGCGTCAAATGTAAGTCTATAATTTATAGTTAAATGCTTACATTAATCCCTTAAACAATCCCAGGCCTGTGAGTCACTATCTTCCCTTTAACTCTTCCCATTTTAGCATCTATGTGAATACAGGCTGCACGGATACACCGAGTATACACAGTCCTGAAGAAAGTCACTATACTGGAAACCATTTCACCATTGCTTGTGATCCCAATACTAGTCCCCAGGTGATATACATATTAATATAAATTAAATTAAATCAGTAATTGTTTAGATATGTGGCTTTACCTTTTTACAGCTATAAAAAATCGAAAAATTACTTACAGTACAGACAAATTTTTATTTCATTTTATTTTTCTATACAGTAAAATTTTATTTATTTATTTATTTAATTTAAATGCCAAGGCAATGGCCGAATGCCAAGTAATACAAAATAACAGATAAAAAGTACATATAAGAATATAAACAGATCTACATAGATAAATTGACAATGTTCGGATTATAATAATTGAACAATGCAAACAATTTAAAGTTTGAATAATGGGATCAATTAATTACAATCAATAAGAATGAGGTGAGAAAAAGTGAACAAGAGTTTGTAATTTAAATAATAAATGTCAGATTTAAGTTAAAATTTAAATTTAAATATAAAGCACTGCATAGATAGCACCAATTTTAATGATTTGGATCACCATCAGTGATACCAGGTATCCAGCTCTCCTTTAGCTCAAGATCGCGGAAAAATTCATGGAACTTGTTTTGAAAGTGTTAATACTAAGTGCATTGATCAATTATCAAGCTTTTAACAAAATTTTCTTTCGGTTCTCATTTCTTGATTAGAAAATTGAAGAAATTCATACTCGCTTTGTTTTTCATAAAAATTTTTTAGACTGAGCATAAAACACTGAATAAATTAAAAAAAATATTATTATTCTAGGAAGATTTTTTATTAGGTTTATAAAAATTTGTAAATTTTTACTTTTGATCACAACTAATGCAACAATTTTCCAATATTTTTTTCACGTCTGCAATTCTAAACCGATCTTCATAAACTTAGCATGCTTACTCTTTGGATGATTTTTGTGGCCAAATTAAAAAATGAGTTACATCGGTTGATTGCTTTTAAAATAACAGCATTTGAAAATTTTCAAAAAGTAAACGAGAAATCATACTTTTGCTGTTTCTCATTGAAGTAACTTTTAATTAGATAAGTTATCAAATTTCAGTGAAATGGGTCTAAAAGTCCATCAAAATAGAAAACAATACCTTACTCGATAAAGTTAGTCTTAGAAAATTTCAATGAAAAACAAGATAAGTATTCATTGAAGAAACAAAAATAAAACTTGGATAAGTTAATTTTGCAAATATTTACATTAAAAAAAAAGTCTATTCGGCAGCCGAATTAGAAGTAGATTTCATAATGAATAAAAAAAAAAAACTACCAGGATCGTATACAAAAAAAAATACGTTTACGTACATCAGGTACATTGTTAAAATGTCTGAATAAATAGTGTACATCTGAAGTAATCAATAGACACTACAATCTTGATCCCTGTATATTTCATTATGACTAAAAGAATGATTTCCAAATGTGTATAATGCAAAAGTAAAATTTCTGTATCTAAACATTAGATAGACAGAGAGAGTAGGTAATTTTTGGCCTAGACCGATGGTTAGATATGCAAATTAAAACTCATTTATTAAACTTTTATTAAATGCAATCCACAAAAATTTTACAAGTTATCGCATTCAAAATAATTATTTTGCAAAGAAACAATGAAAGTACCAATTTTTTAATATTTTAAAGTATTCAAATTGCTAAAACCTATACGATTTAATTAAAAAGAAAAAATGAATAAATAAGTATGCAAATTAAGGCATATTTCATAAGCTTTCAGATGTAATTTACAGAAATTTAATAGGATATTACGTTCAATTGTTATCGCGCAAAAAAACAGTAGAAGTAAAAATTTTTGCGATTTTAGAAAATTTTTGAATAGCTGTCATTTTTAAACTAATCGACCAATTTGACTCATCTTCAAACTTAACCTCGAAAATCGTCCTAAGAATGAGTATGTTACGTTTTATTGAGATTCGTATAGAATTGCGGGAGTTAGAGAAGAGACAAGACCGGTTCGGCTGCCCAATTTTAAAACAGTAACTGCAAAATTTTTATACCTGATTTTTTTTTTAGTATTGCTGCATTTTTAATAACTTTTAAACCTTAATTTCAAGTATTTTTTCTTAAAAATATTTATATTGGAGTATTTTCTATTCATAAATCAAATTTGTCATTAATTTGGCGGGCAAACTTTTTTTTAATAAGAAAAATTGAAAAAAATTTTTAAATGTTAGTTACTGTATTTTGAAATTGGGCAGCTGGGTTGTATCGTGTATATATATATATATAAACTTTTGAATCATATGCATTTTTTGAATCCACTTGACGAGCTGAGTCGAAATATAGCAAAATTTTGCAAAAGTTCCGTTATGATCACCAATGCAATAGTGACATTTCTATGAAATATACTAAAAAAGGAGGAGACACATGTAAACAATTACTCTTTATTTTATAATATTTATTCTATTACTATTTATTATTCTATTACTTAGATTACCATTTCAAGAAACTCTCGTGAGCCAGAGGAGGACAAGCTTCAAGATGATCAAGACAATTTGGAGTCAATTATAAAACCAATTAATGATTCAAGTCAAAATAACATTCATTTAGCCCAATGGGTTCGTAATTCCCATCAAATACCTCCACCAGATTACGAAGTCCCACCAGAAGAATGGACAGTCGAAGAATTGGCAGCTCGAGCTCCTAAAGAATCAATAAGTAGCAATGTTAACGAACAAGTAATCGAAGAAAACGTAGCAACTAACTCAGATCAAGAACAACACAGTACTACTTCAAGTGCCAGTTTATCGACAGTTAAATCTACAACCGTCAATTCTAAAAAAAATGGCAGTTTTAAAGATGCACCTTCAGGATCGATCAACATCTGCCGAAGGTGCCACAGGTGGAGTTTTCCGTATCAAGGATAGACTCTTAGAATTTTTTATATTATATTTATTACAATTAATATAATATATTTTTATTTTATTTTAGTTATAATAATGATATTTTAAATAATCAACAGGTCTGGATGTCCGACACCGCCACCTCTGAGGGATCCTTTTTCACCTCTTCCACCAAAAATATCTATTCTTCCGCCAACACCTGATCTATGTCCAATGTACAAATTAAAAAATGGATCCCAAGATAGTCCGAGTAAAAACTGCACTACTGCTGATGAAAACACCGAAGATGGCAGTGAAGATGATTTGGATTGTGACGAAGAACCGCCTTACAGGTTGCTTATTTTTTTATATCATCATCTTTATTATATAGTTATGTATCCAGAGGATATACACCGGTTAAAAATCAACCAGATTGAAAAAAAAAAATTTTTGGTTCAAAAAATTTATTTTGAAAAATGAGAACATAAATAGAAAATAAAATAATTTTTCTATTTCATTTACAACAATTAAATTATTCAAATCATGTTATTTAATTCAAGAAATATTTTTTTCCTGAATCAAATTTATTTTTTCATCAGTGTAGTTTAAATTATAATTAATACCTTTCAGACACTCAACAAATAGAATGAATAATTAGAACACAATATATGAAATGAGCACATTTACAGCCAACTATACAAACCGTAACTATTTCTCTGAACATTTTGCCATATTATATTTCTTCTCTTAGCCAAACCTCATTCATGAGGTAACAAACATTCAAAATTACTTAGAGAATATTAGAAAAGTATTTAGTAACAAGTTACTACTACATCCCTGCGATACTTTTAATAAACTTAATTTATACTAATATTGTAAAATAATACAATCATAAAAAATATTACGCTAATAAAATTGGGTGCACAACAATTGATCCAATAACAAAATACCCACACGTGAATATCTCAACAATAAAAAATCGCACAAAAAATTAAAAGATGGTTTCAGAAATGACAACAAAAATTCTGTACATAAATTGACCATGGTTTTTTGAGAAAAAAATTTTTTCTATCTTCTACATGAATGCGGATATTGTATTTGGGTCAAATGTTGTACTATACCAATGATATTAAAGTAGATAAAATGTAAGATTAAATTAAGGTTATTATCTTCAGAGCACTCCGAAGATTTGGAACAATGAGTAGCTTAGATCAAGAAGATGAGTTAGATGATCAAGGAGATGATGATAACCGTGATTTAGAGTCTCCACCAACAGTTTTAAAGTCCTGGACAGCAAGAGCTAGCGATTTCGTCGTTAGTAAAATGGTTTTTTTAGAACAATTGAGTGAAGGAGTTGGTAGTTACTTACTTCAGCCTCCCGTACCACCTGAAAGGACTGAATTTTCACTAGATCCCAATGACGATGAAGGAACGACTTCCGGTGGAACATCTGGTGATGACATATGGGGTACACCAACTTCGGGTGGACCAGATGATGACAGTTTTACCGCCAGCCCCGTAAGTTTAATACAAAGTATTTAATGCTATGTTTTTAAGTAAAAACTCTTTGAGTTGAGTTTTTTTTTTTATCACCGCCGCCAGATTTTTTCAAGCACCATAGATTAGTCATACCTTCCAACACCAAAAAGTAAGAGAGTAAAAGAGTAAATGATCGACTAAAAAATTAATAAGCTTCGCACGGCTCTGCATGACGCAAATGCTTGTACTATTTACAAAAAACAAAAAAAAAAAAAACAATTAGTACCAGCTGAACCTGTCACTTTCATAGCCGTCTATCAATGGCAACGTTCTCGGCGAGGACAATTATGGGCTCACATTGAATACTGATGATGATGCTGACGAAAGTGGTGACTCCGAAGACTGCAACGTGCCTGAAATCAGTATGGATCAACTGCTAGGTAGCAGTAACTTTTCATCTCTTCGATGTATTCTTAACCGTAGACGACTGGAGCCACTTCCCGAAGAAGACGATTCATCTGGTAACGAAAAAAATCAAGTTGGATGGTGGTGACAGAGGTTGCAGCCCGCGAGTTTGGCCAGCGGCGAAGATCAAATTCAAAACAGAGATCAAATATTCGCTAAATTGACTCAAGAAGATGAAGAATTTCGTAAAAAAATTTTAGATCTACATAAAAAACTTTTGGATGTTGACTCTGGTAAAGAATCCAGTCAAATTGATAATCCGCCAGTGAAAAAAACCGAAAAACGAGTAACACTTGTGGAAACAGCTACAACTCCAAAGCCACTAGACGTAGGAAGAATTCTAAAACCGGCTTTAAAGAATTCAATAGCTAATTCTAGTAATGAAGCTGAAAGTATTTCTAGAATGCTTGATAGAAGACGATTGAAAAGGATGGATCTTGAACACGAAAGAAGAAAACATTTAGAAGAATTGAGAAGACGATCGGAAAGAATCGATGAAGTCTCTGAAGATGATCAAGACGAACAAATACCAGTGAGACCTCGAGAAACTACTACTTTTCTCAACCGTCTGAGAATTCGCAGGCGTAGTATCAAGTTGTTAAGTTTTTTAAGTGGTAAGTCATCGGATAAATCTCATGAGGAACGAGCATCCAGATTGTTAAAAATATATATGCCTGAAAAAAGTACTAAGGGACAAAATACTATCTCTATTCATCACCATACACCCAGAAGTAGAAGATTTTGGAAACTCCGTAATCGGAGAAAGAATGTTTAAGAAAATATTACTTCAAAAACATAAAACTGAAAATTAAATTTAAAAAAAAAAGTGGCAAATTCAAAATTATACTTCTTGATCTAATAAATTGCGTCCAATAAACGAAGAATAACGTTTGGATAATGTTCATCGATTTTAACGTCCAATGATGAAAATAAATACAATACGTCTTTCAATTATCTATCGAGGACTTCCAATCTGTTTATTTATTAAATGTATTGTCGAAAGTAAGCTCGAGGATTTATGTTATATTTAATATTTTAATTTTTTAAATAACTTAGTGCTTTAGGTGCAATTATAATGTAGGATTTACTAAAAATGAAGAAAACAAAATTTTAAAAATAAATAAATAAATCAATTATTAAAAATGTTTTCTTCAAGTTATTAATAATCGCCTTGGTATTTATTATTAAATTTCTAACTTATGCAAATTGTAAAAAATAAATAAAATTATCGCAGAAACGGCCTATGCAATATTTACATTTAAATATAAGTCATCCTCGAGTTAAAAATACGGCCTAGGTATAACGGTATACTTAATTAATATAATTATCAAAATTTATACTTAATTTATGGTAAAACAATAAGATTTCCTCCGTGAGCTCGTTGTATCGTTTGGAATCAATTGAAGAGTTTCTATCAAAACTAGTAATTCTTCTTAAATTATAAAAAAAAATAAAAAAAAAAAAAAGTAGGTCCGCACTGACTGACACAACGCGGCACTCATTATCTTTAACTTAAATAATAGATTTAAATAATTATAAATAAAAAGAAAAGTTACTGTTGGTAGATTGTAAAATTTAGTCTTCAAAGGCTAAAATGCAAATAAATTATACTATTTGTTGAAATTTCAGACTTTTTTTTCTCCTTTGTCATTTCTTTAAAACTTTTATACCTTGTTTTATTTCACTTTTAGATAAATTAATAAATCACACGTATATATAATCAAAACCGTTTATAATGACATCGATGAATCATTGAAATGCGGTCGATAGAGCCGATAGTCGTTATAATCAATAATAAATATTCCATAAGCAATTTTCTAATGAATTCATCAAGATTTGAAGATTCTGTAAAAATAATTAATGTTTAGAATATTTAATGTTTGGGTACATCTTTATTAGGAAATATGTATTGAAATACCACTATTCCGAAGCAAGTTCCATATGAATTTTAAGGGATCCAAGTTAAATCATTATGTGTATCTCAGTATTTGCTGCTATATAATTTATGTGAATAGTTATCGGGTTTTATTTTATTAAAACTATTGTATTTTATAAAATTTAAACATATAAGAATTTAATATTTTCTCGTACTTTGCAAATTAGAAAAGCTGACGGTCTGACTAACTAGTCAACTGACCACAACAACTGAAAATCTATCATTTTAGATTGATTTTGCACTGAATCTGTGCCTATGAATTTTAAATTTGTCGAATTCTTTTTCTTTTCAACGTAATCGAAGGGATTTTAAATATTAGTGATCAATGCTTTGTGTAACTTATCAAACGATAAACTAATTTAAAATTTTGATTATAACTCTGCTAAATCTGGGATTGAATTTAATGAGGTCATAAGTATAATTGTGGAAAAACAAATAAAAGTATTTCTTGTACATATAGCTGATACATTTGAAAATATATTTTTAACATAACTATTATGAGAAATTTTTGTCACTATAAACGGATTCTGCTTGGAGATTTTGTATAGGATCGGACCGAACGTCAAAATTTCATCGTTATACCCGGTTCATCATTTTAAGAGATGATGTTATAAACGGTTTTGACTGTAACTATAAAGCATAATCGAAGTTGTCAGTTACTTTCACTATGTGCTAAATAAACTTTTTTTAATAAATCAAATTTATTAAATTTAAATGAAAACTAATAATGATAAAAGTAACGCTTCAACTTCGGTAATGATTTATATTATTTATGTATTTTATAAATGTATATATTTCTCAGAATAAGTGTTTCAATAATTTAAATAAAAAAAGTTGATTTAAAGTGTTAAATGAAAATTAGCATTTGCGTTCGTTGATATACATGAAAAAGAAATAAAAATCTCTGATGGTATCTAAAATATAAAGTTATTGAAAAATTTATTAACTCATAAAATCATTTTAAAAGTGAAAAAAAATTTAATTGTTTCGATTTATCAGATAATTGAATTCTAGAAAGCTATAAGAAGGATTTTTTTACAGATAATTTATTTTAAAATAATGAATCAAGTTAGGTATAAATCATTTTGATAATTTGACTTTTATTTATTTAAAAATAATTATATATCTACAAATCATAAGGATTAAGCCATCTATATCTTAATTCTTCCTTCAAAGTCTTTCTATCTAATCGTTTTGGATTATTTATGAACTCCATGGTAGCTTTTTCACGATCTGGATCGACTCTTGGAGCCATTAGCAAATCTCCATTTTCATGGAGCCAAGTCTGGACTGACTCGTCGTTGGGTAATTTGTCTGGCATATTGATTGGTGTAACTTTTATCAGATGCTTTATTTTCCAAAGCAACGTACACATTTCTGGTGTATTTTTGACTATCGCAATATCACTAGCCTAAATATATTGAATAAAATTTATGACTTATATAGCTCATGACACAAAAATATTATGTTTGAATAACGATATTATATTATTTACTTACCACTTTATCTAATTTAAGCTGAATAAGAATATTTTTATCCCAATATGGATTGCCTTTAAACTTTTCGACACGCTGAACCATTAAAAGTTTTGTTGGTTTGATGGGAGGATCTTTATGATCTTTATGTCTAGAAATAGTTAACGTTATTGAAAATCACTTAATGTTATTAATGTAAAAGAAATTATTTTAATTGTATTAATAAAGAGGTTTAGAATTTCAGAATTTCCTATTGATCATAATTTAGGTATTTCGTTCCTTCATTGGAATGATAATAAAATTAGCAGACACCTCACAATTTTTTAATTTTTTTAATAAATACATCTGTAAACTTCAGTATTATTTACAGGAATTTTTCAAACAGCCTACTCACGTAAATCTACGATTAGCTAAATATTTTTATGACATATCACAAAGTATGACTTATTAATGCAATAGTTGTCACTATTTATGGGTGATTCTCTGTAAGGATGTTTTTTGCTGTCCCAGGTATTTTTTTACTAGAAAAATTGTTATTTTTTTACTAACAAAAATTTATTACGAAAGTAAAAAAACATTTCTATTTGGAGCATTGAAAACTAAAATGAAATAAATTTTGTTTTTTTTTGCTATAAATTCGTAAACCACCGAAATGTCAATCCCCTGGACTGTCCCATTCCCAAAATTAAAACTTTAAGATTAAATTTTAAGTTATTCATCAATAATATATAATTTGGTCCATAATTTTTATAAACTTAATTAGTTAACTAACAATCTTCTTCAATAAAAAGTACCGAAAATTAATTTGTTTTATTAAATTTATTAAACCAAAGTTTGTCTCAGGCATTTTAAGATCAGTCCCCTGCAACTGTAGATGATTTGGTTGAATTTCAGAATCGCTTATTTGCATTCCTTCTCGAAAAAGATGTTTAGACAATCTCCACTTATTTATTATCATTGTTATTATTATGATTATTGTGTTCTACTATTTTCGTTTCGATGTCATCATTGGTATTATTTATTTATTTATTTTGATTTAATTAATTCTTAAATTACATATGTAACTCTCTGCAAGATTTATATTTATATTTATATTATATTGATATTATATTTGGCTATTATATTCCTTTTGGATACTTTTATTGTATTCGGAAATTACACTTATATTATAATTAGAAATTTATTTGCTAATAAGATTATTGTAAATGAAAATGTATACTGTACATGACTTTGATGGCTTTGAGGGAGCCTAGGCTCTACTTTATCTATCTATCAGTCTCCTGCCAGAAGTTCAAAGTCAAAAAAAAAAAAATCCAGCGTGTTATTTTATCTTTTGTAAGGTTTATAAGGATCTAACTAGCCTTGAGTTAATAACCATAGGGCTGTTAGCGCTTTATCGCCATTTTATTTAGTGTCTTAGCACCGTTTGTGCTGGAATTATGTGTCTGGGCCACTCCAAAACTCAGTCCTCTGGCAGCTATTTTTATTTATAATTTATTTATAAAATTGGATCCATAAGTCTTAATATTATTATAATTAATGTAATTCGGCTGTTTATTTATTATTATTAAGCTGATAGTTTTGTAGCCCTTGTTAATTTTTTTTCTAATAAAATCAAAAATAATTTGGTCGGACAATTTTGTACAGATTTAAGATTAAGACGTCCTTACAGAGAATCACCCTTATATTGTAATTATTAACAATCACGCGTATTAAAAACATACAACCCAGTATAATTACGCATCAAATTTATTTATTATTTATTAATGTCAGACTCCATATAATTGTTTATTTAAACTTACCGTGGATAATAAGTTACTTGTTCATATTTAACACCATTTGTCCAAGTCCTGGGTGCTCTCCGTAAAATATAGCTACGAATCTGAGTAAAACAGCTTAATGGTATAGACATATTTACCTGCAAAAAAAAAAAAAAACAATATTATTCAATGAAAATTAATATGAACGATACTTGTTTAAGGTTATGCTTATGTCTAAAAGATTTACATCAACACTAATGAAAAATATCTTTGAAAAACTTAGAAACCAGCATGCGTTTGACAAATAAAAATTTGTTTTCCAGTATTTATTATAATTAATAAATAAAAATTACAAAAATTTCGCAACCATAACTAGAAAATATTTGTCAACCGGTTTAATGTCGTAAATTTTATAAAGAATTTTATTTTTTGATTAGAATAAAAAAAAAGGAAAAAAAGTATGTATTTAAAATAAAATTGTTTTCAATAATACCTTTTTAACTCAAACGAGCAAATATTTTTAATAACTGCTGAATTCAGTAATTTTGGATCAATTTTCTTGCAAGTTTTTATTAACTCCCTACTTTCCAACCATAAATAGTCGAAATACACAACAGTGCCGATAATTTTATAATTGAGAGTTCTTTACTCAATGGACATTTGGTCTCAAATTCATGAAATTATCATAGTCGCTTATCAGAAATATTCACTAAAAATCTGAAATTATTTTAAATTAAATTGTGTAACTTAACTGATGGATTATATTTAATATTTGCAATTAAATCGTCTTTAAACTTGATTCATTAATTGTTCATGAACTGTTGAGGTTATTGCTTATTGTGAGTTTTCTCAACATATTGGCGGTAAATTTAAAAATGCCAAGGTCACTTTTACCAAATGCTTTATTAAATTTTCGATCTATTTATCGTAATGCTACAAAGGCTATGCAAGTAAGTATTTTTAATATTTTAATTATGTTTATAATCCATTAATTCTTGAAAATTTATAAATATTTCTCTTAGTGTAAAAATAATAAATGCACTGGATAATTTTTCAAAATTCTTCCTATTTAACTGTTTAGATTTTTCTTTTACAATAATTTAGAGCCAGTTTTTCAATTCGAGATAACATTTCATCCAGGATGAAATTATTACCTCTTCGAGCTCAAAAATCTAGTAGTTGTTAAAAACATACGTTTTTTTTTTTAATTTTGAATTGCAATATCATTTGATCGAATCGATCGTTTTTGATGGAGTTTGCAGCATTCAACGCAGTTTTACGAGCATTAATAGTAATTTTATTTCATCAAAAATGATTGGAGAAGAAATTTCAAAGTTATGCAAAAAAAATCACTTTTTTCGAAATTTTTCGTGAACGGTTGCTCTTCAACGTATCAACTGATTTTGATGTGGTTTGCAGCAATTGACGTCATTTTTTGAGTTTAAGAGCTGATGAGATTTTGGAATTGATCGTTAGATCCGTTTAAAAATTATTCCAAAAAAAATTTTTTTTGAAAATTTTATTTTTAAGATTTTTCAAAATCTACTGGTCCGAATCGGTTTCAATGATATAGGAATGGCACAGACGTAGTAACATAGTGACATCCTAGTAGGAATGGCCAAGGACTTCAAAACTTGAAGATCTGATGAGAGCTCGATTTTTGAAAACTGGGGTGAAACCAATAACTTCCCGATTTTTTTTAAATTATTGATTTTCATAGCGGAAAGTTAAAAAAAAAAAGTAACTGTTCTTTAATTTTACAAAATTATAAATTACTCCTAGATGAAATGAGATATAACTGCGTAATTTTAAAATGGATTTATTGTGTTTTTGCAAAAAAAAATTTACTCTATCAAAATAATTCGAATTGTTTCAGTTATCGTCATCAACATCAGATAGTCTAAATGATGAAAATAAAAGACGCCAACAAGTAATGGGTAAAGGACTTCCTAAGCAAAAAAGTATAAAAGGTGTCAAGCAAATACTGTTAGTCGCATCTGGAAAAGGTGGAGTTGGTAAATCTACAACAAGTGTTAATTTAGCTACCGCATTGAAAATTATTCAACCACAGAAAGCAGTAGGCTTATTAGATGCTGATATTTTTGGACCAACCATTCCATTAATGATGAATCTTCATCAAACACCTTTACTCAATAATGATAATTTAATGGAGCCTCTTGTCAATTATGGCGTCAAGTGGTAGTAATTTTTTATTTTTAATTTATATTAAAAAAAAAAAATGCAATTAAATAATTTTTTTTTTTATTTTAGTATGTCAATGGGATTTTTGGTTGACGAAAAGTCACCGGTTATTTGGAGAGGATTGATGGTAATGAGTGCGTTAGAGAAATTACTTAGACAAGTTGCTTGGGATCCTCTTGATTATCTTGTAGTCGATACCCCTCCCGGAACTGGAGATACCCTTCTTTCTTTAATTCAAAATATTCCTATTAGTGGTGTTGTTATTGTTACAACTCCTCAAAAGGCAGCATTAGACGTAGCGCGAAAAGGTGCTAGAATGTTTCAAAAAATGAATATTCCAATAGCTGGACTTGTTGAAAATATGACGAACATAACGTGTCCAAAGTGTTTGGAGCAAGTATCATTATTTGGTGAAGGAAGCACTATTTTGTCTAAAGAATTAGGTAAAGTATAATTTCTAAATTATTATATACTTAATATATATTATTAATTATATTGTAAACACGTCTTTTTTAATTACTATTTAAAAAAACGGATTTTTATTTATTTTTCTCACTAACTTTTTAGGTGTACCAATTTTAAAAAAGTTTCCTTTGGACAAAGATACAACAGAGTGTGGAGATATTGGAAAACCAATTGTTTTAGCACAGCCAAATTCGCCGCAGTCTACTTTATACAAAGAGTTGGGACAAGATATTATAAATTTTTTACAAAAACAAGTTATTAATTCATCGTAATATTTTATATTATAAATTTCAAAAAATTTTAACTTTTCTATTTTGAAGTTTTATTGAAAAAACTGTTGATAAAAAACTATAAGAACAATTCGATATGTCATTCAAATTGATATTTTGATTATCAATTGAAATTAATATGTAATATTAAAGTTTGTATGATAGAAAAGTAATTTATTAGTTATCAATTTGAATAAAATATTTTTAAGTATTTTTTTGGATTAATCAAATTTTTTCATTTTTTAGAAGCCGTAGATATATTTTAATTAATTCTGAATAAAAAATGAATAAATTTTATCATATATGATGACGTATTAATAAAAAAATTAAAACAAAAACAATAAAAAAGTTTTGTATAAACTCATCAGAAATTTAAAAATACCGCCAATTTTTTTTAATCGAAAGCTGCGTTACCGCTCTCTAACGTTCTTTCTTGTTACTTTTTATCCCCCCGTTATACAGTTGAGAAGAGAGTTAACCTTCTAAGCCCAGTGGCCGAATTGACTTTCGCCTGTAAAATTATTTGGTAAGTTTATTTTATTTATTTTTTCATTTAATTCCATTCTTAATTGATTTATCTTGACTATCCAAAGAAATTAAAAAATGATTAAACAATTAAATTCAAAATTTGTTTAATAAACCTTTTACACTTAACTAATAATAACAGTAAATAGAACTGAATAGCCGTCAAGTTCAATCTGACGATTACATAAAAGCATATAAAACTTGCAATTATATTGAAGGAGTACTGAATATCTCCTTGACAGTTTATAAATTTTGGAGTAAAAAATCACTCAAACTACCAAAATTTATGTGAATTTGATGTACTAATTAAAGTTTTTTCCTAGTTATCGGTAAATTTGTCCACCATGCTTCGTCAGGCGAGTAATTTGGTCTCGTTGACTGCGCCAGCAGTTCAACAACAGCATCAACGTGGTATGGCAACTTTGAAATCTATTTCCATTCGTCTTAAGTCGGTAAAAAACATCCAGAAAATCACTCAGTCCATGAAGATGGTGTCAGCAGCTAAATACAATCATGCTGAACGTGATTTGAAACAAGCAAGACCTCTAGGTCAAGGAACTAAAATCTTCTATGAGCAAGCTGAAATTCAAGCACCTGAATCAGAACCTAAACAATTGGTAATTGCTGTCACAAGTGATCGAGGTTTGTGTGGTGCTGTACACAGCGGTGTGTCACGTAATATTCGTGATAAATTATTAGCTGACTCAAATCTCCGTGAGAATACTAAAATAATATGCATTGGTGACAAATCACGAGCAATTTTGTCACGGCTATTTGCTAAAAATATTCTCTTTGTCGCAAGTGAAGTTGGCCGTAAGCCTCCAACTTTTACTGATGCCTCCAAAGTAGCAAATATGGTCATGAATTCCGGGTTAGTTAATAAAAATAAATATGTATATTTAAGTAATAACAATTATAACGATACTAATTCTTGTTATCTAATGATAGGTACACCTTTGGATCTGGACGCATAGTTTACAACAAATTTAGGTCAGTAGTTTCATACGCTGTCGATCAATTACCCCTGTTCGACAAATCTGCTGTAACGAGTGCTCCAAAATTATGTGTCTACGATTCTCTCGATGAGGATGTAATCCAAAGCTATTTGGAATTTTCTCTTGCCTCATTGCTATTCTACGCGATGAAAGAAGGTGCATGCAGCGAACAATCCAGCAGAATGACTGCTATGGATAACGCCAGTAAAAATGCTGGTGAAATGATTGATAAACTTACTTTAACATTCAATCGTACTCGCCAAGCTGTTATTACTAGAGAACTTATTGAAATTATTTCTGGAGCTGCCGCTTTGGAATAAATATCTTTTCATTTGAAAACACAATTGTATAGTCAGCGAAGTTGGCAAGTGATTATTATTCACTATTAACAATCTTAAATATTATAAAATTAAAACACAAATTTAAAAAAAAAAACCATTAGACATTTTTTTTTTATTTTATCCTTTGATTTTTTTTTGTTTTTATAAAACGTTTTGTTAACTTCGCTTTATATACAACATATAGATCATTATAGGATTTAATAACCTATCAGATAATAGTAATGTAAGTGTTAAGGACTTATCAAGTTTGAGAACACTCACTCCTATTACATGAAAAAACTGCCGGTTGTTGAATGTAATATAATAAAAAAAAAAAAAAAACCGATACAAAACAAAAAATAGTACCAGTTTAAATTTCTGATTATTTATTTCATAACTTAAAAAAATATAACATTTTTTTCAACATTATCACATCTATAATAATAAACTTGATAACATTCGGTTAATTTATTTTTAATTGATGTTAATCAGTCATTCATTTAATTTTAAAACAATCAATTAAATTGTTTGATCTTGAAAGACAATATTAACTTGTTGATTTAATTCTGTTACTGAAAATTTATGAATAGTTGTGTGTAATGATTACAACATAAGCGACGAATCACCGTGCATTTTAATAGATCAAAATTCTGCAGACATAATGTGAAAAGTAAAATTATAAATTTTTAATTTGGATTATTTTCATCTAAACAGTACTCTGATATAAAAAGAAATTCTTTAGTAAAATTACTTTCATATAATTAATTATAATATAAATGACACGATACTTTTTTTATGTGATTTGAAAAATCTTTAAGTATAAATCAAGCAAAAATGATGTGCCTCAATATTTTATAAAATGTTTATTAATCCTAATAAAAGGTAAGTTTTAAATCAACTAAATAATGAACAACTCATCCGAATAACTTCAGTTAGTCAAAGTATTCACGTCCACTTTATCACATTTTATTTACAATGATCCCTCTATAAGATATTTTAGCTGTCACAATTTTTCCATTAGTTACTAACAAAAGAAAAAAGGATAACCTGTTATACCTTAGGGAGAAAGCACTGTATTTATGATCAAAATAATTTTGTCATTCATTATATACATAATAGTCAGATGGTGGAATTCGATGTGTACTCATTTTTATGATAAGAAAGCTTAAGAATAATGTAGGTCTAAACTTCTTTGATAAAACCAAAATTACTCAGGTTGACAGTAAATATATAAGAATTTTTTTTTTTTTTTCATTATTTATTAAATTATCATTAATGCCACAATCGAAATCTTACTAAAATATTAATTTCTTAAAACTGCACAGTAGAATTTTTCTTTATTTGCTTGTAATTAATTTTAATAAGTCAAACAATTTATATTTAAACAAAACTGAAAAACCATTTGTTCGAATAAGAAAATCTCATCAATTATTTAGGTTTGTAAAATAACAAATGTTGCTAGATAAAGTCAATTAATATCATAAAATATCTTCAATTTCGATAATACACATCGCTTTTTTTTATATTTTAATGTTGATATTAAATAACATAAAAATTGTAATTATCATTAGCAGTTTCGGTTACGTAACACTTCATCCGTGACATTTCATCCGCGGACGTTTGATCCGCACGACGGAAGATCCGCACGACAATTGATCTGTGATGTGACGTTTTAACAAGGTTATTCAACACAGAAGCTTGTAATTGTGTTGCGCCCTTTTAACAAGGTTGTTATCGTGCGGATCAATCGTCCACGGATGAAGTGTCGTGGATTAATCGTCGCGGATGAATTGTCTGCGGATGAGCGGTCGCGTCACCGCAGTTTCATGCTTTCTTTTTTTTTGTCTTAAAGATTATTTACAAAATTACTTCAATGCACTTGAGGATTTAGCAAATAGAATTTCTGATTTCTCAAATTTAGTTCTAAATATTATTATTATTAACAGAAGGTGTTAATGTATATGTCGTAAAAAAAAAATTGTTTCTTTCATCATTTAAGTTAAAAAAAGAAACGAAATACTTTCAAATTATCTCACTCCTTATAATTATCACTTATTCAGGGGTTTTTTTTTCACAATACAAAATAACTGTGTTATTAAAAAAGAACGAAATTTCTGAAATATATAACGAGTTTTTTTTCTAAAATTCGTCTAATTTTTTAGTGATTGAACTGATATTTTTATCGCATATCAGTTATGATAAATATACATACAGATAATATTAAATCTACATAACTTAGTTTTTCAAGACAAAAAAAAAATTAAATAATAAACAAAAAAAAACAATATATTAATTAATGATATTAATGAATAATCAATTAACCATAAGTCAATAACAAAATTTGACACCCCTATTTTCCATCACCCGTGCATCGACTACTTTATTCACACGTTGTTAATTATACTAACTAAATTTTTTTTTTTTGTATTAATAAGTTTTTATAATCAAAAGTATTTTTTCATTTTGCACATTTAATTAGCGATCCGACGTCGCAATAATGAATTATAAACAAATCTTAATAATCCTTCCAAGGTCCAATCATTATAGAAAAAACAAATGGAAAATTTGATATAATTCGAGGTCTTCCAATTGGCTCACCACTCAGCATCACCATTTGCTTTTTGAAATACATAGTCTTTACCACTTAAATTCATTATCCCGTCTTTTAAATAAAATTTCCATTTATTTCTACTCCTCGTAATCTAAAATGAAAATATCGAATTACTTTTCATACCGACAAGATAAGTAAATTATTTAAGAATATACAAACCTTATCATACTGGCATACAACAACGTTATCAGTATCAAATAGATCTGTTGGATCATCGTCTGTGACGTCGTCCTCAGAATTAAGTGGTTCCTTAATTTAAAAAAAAAATTTAATAAGGTTACATAAACAATGTAAGATATTTAAAAAATTTGTATATTGACAAACCTCTTCTCGAGCTCCTGCATCATCTTGTTCATCATCATCTTTTTCGAGATCATCATCATCATCTTCGTTATCATCTTCGTCATCTTCATCATCTTCGTCTTCAGAAGTGTCTCCATGTTGACCATCAAGTTGAGCAATATTACTTTGTCCCTAAAATATTATCAATTAATAACATGTACTTTTTAAATACATAATTTGATGATCATTAAATCTTAAACATACTTGATTTTGTACAGGCATTTGTTGCTGAACATTATTTGCCTGTGTAATAACTTGATTAATTTCAATGGGCATAGTTGATTGACCCTGTAAAGTTTTATCAACATGCTGTTGAAGTAGTTTCGATGCAACATTCTCGGGGAAACCCATAGCTGCAGTTATCACAGGCCCCGTTAAAATAGTGGCTAACTGATTACCTAAAATAAATATTTTTAATGAGAATAAATAGTAAAAAGTTATTTTTAAAACTACTAACATAGTATGGAAGTACTCAAATTCGCAATCAGACTTTGGAAAGAACTACCTATTGAGATAATAAAATCGCTTAGCTATGATACCTTTAAAACTAGTGCCTATAAATTCTTCTTGAATCAGAAAAGAGATGGCTAACTACTAACTTCAAATATACATTCTGAACTTATATTGTTAATATTCTGATTTATATTTTGAACTACTCTTTAAAATATTCATATTCTAATTTTGAATCTATTTTTGTGTTAAATAAGAGTTAGTGCCCGTTATTATAAATGCACTTATAACTCTTTCTTTATTCTACTTGTTAAAACTATAATTATTAGATAAATTAAATACTAAACCTCTTACGTGTACTTTAAATAGACCACCATTGTATATGTTTGCCATGTCGGCCAATGTCTTGGCATCAAAATATTTTTAAATAAATAAATAAATAAATAAAAAATAAAATACCTTGGATAGCTGATGCAGGAACATGAATAGTTAAGACTTTAGGTTTTCCATCGCCTGTACTAGCATTACCAGGTAATGTTATTTGAATGGGAACTGGTCTCTCAAATAATGCTGGTGGTGGTGCAGAAACAACTTGTTGTACTGGCATTGTGGCATGCTGCTGAATAGGAACATTAGCAGTCTGTGGAGGAATAACTCTCATTGGTTGTGGTTGAGGTTGACTTTGAACTATTTGCTGTGTCTGTTGCTGAGGATGCGATTGTGACTGAGTTGTAGATGAAATAGCTTGCATTTGTTGTTGAGCAAAATGATTACCAACATTTGCAGCTAAAATTATAGAAATTATTATTATTATAGATTCATTATAATAATTATATGATAAAAATTAAGTACACAGAAATTAATAATTAAAAATTAAAATATTCACCATTGCTAGAAGTAACTGCTTTGTTGGCTCCACTATTTTTATTAACTATTAATATCTGAGGTGGTTGTGGTTCTGGTGGATCAGCATTTAACTCAACAGCTTTACTTTGAATCAATTTAGATTCCCATATTTGTCTTAGTTCTTCTAGTACACCTTCATCTACACCTTCCTCAGTACACAGTGAATCTTTCACACCATTTATTACATCATCAATCACAGTATTATAAAGTTTCAACTGTAATTAAAATAAAAATTATCATTATTATTATTGCATTTTTATCAATTAAATAATTATATTGTAATACACATTTATTATTAAAAAATAAAAAATTTATGAAAAATTTTATCATTTCAGTAAAAATAATCAATTACTTATTTGTTATAAATAATGATCGTATCAATAATACAAACCAGACATATTTTTTTATATCCAGTGCGAATCACAATAAAAATTAATTAATTGTTAATCATTGCCATGACACCGGATTATTGAAACAATTATTTGTTTTAAAAACTCATAAAATCATTTAATTATTATCATAAACATATGCAATAATAAAAAAATACGAGATATATAAGTAAAAAAAAAAAAAAAAGGTGTGAAATTTTAATATGGTAAAAGATGATAATGGATAAATTTATAAAAATTTTTTGTTTCAATACAACAGTGATAGCATGTATTTCAGCTAGATGGAATGATACATTATTTTTTAAGTATTTTTTTTTATTAATGGACATTATTATTCCATTACTCACCACACTGGTTTGGCTAAGGGCCATTGTCGGATGATTAGTATTGTTAATCGTTAAGATTAAAAACAATACCAATAATCCTTAACAATTTTAAAAAAGAAACCCTCTGTAAGCCAAGCTGCTATCGTGTCGCTCTTCCTCTTTTATACTTTCTCAAGAGCTCTCATTCCATTCACAATATAGCCACGATCCACGATGCTGGTCGACACAACTCTTTTATGACTAAGTGAGTCAAATTAATTTTTATTTTCGTTTGCTGTTAATGATAAAATAAATTTTATTATTTATAATAAATTGTTTTATTAATCAAAACTATTAATTAATTAAAAGAAACATTTTTTTTTTTATATTTTTAACTTAAATTTTAACAAAATAATAAAAAAATTACCTGTTGCAATCTTTTTGAATAAAGCGGCATTTTTGAATATTTTTATTACTTACAAAGAATTGAGAGAATTTTAAGTTGTAAAAATATATTTTTTTCTCTTTTAAAGTTACAAGCAATGAATAAGAATTTCTATTAGAATATTTTTCGTAAATTTGAATAATTTTACAATGATAAATTTTCTGCAACTATTGCGAAAAGAAAAATGTTTAAGTATATTGTAACAATTTATTAAAGCTTGTTTCCATAAAATAGAGATAGAAAATAAAACCAATCTAGTAATTCATATTCTCCTGTATAGATCAACGATGATTGGCTAATTTTATGGAAGCAAAATCATGAAAATGAAGCCATAAGAAAAACGATAAGGATAGAGATAGCGAAAAGAGAAATTGTTGATTTGTTGGTGCGACAGCGACGGGTCCCGTCGGACGGGACGACAGACGACATCGACATCAGTAGCGGCGTAGAGTATAGTATAAAGTATAAAGTATAGAAGTGCCTAAATGTAGCGCAGAACCATACTGGTTCTCATTTGGGGATTGTGCTGATCTTAGTTTTTAACAAGGGTGGGTCTTACGGCTTCGTGGGAGGGGTCGTTAACTTCTAAATAGAATTGGAAACACTAACATTTATTATTATACTTACAACTTATGTGGTGTATTATAAGTTATTTTTTATAAAACTTATAAATAATAACTGTAAAAATATATTATATCATTTATTATTTAATAGAACAATAAAGTTAAAGAAGTAATACAGAAATAATTACCGCATATTATTTTAAAGGTGAAAGTAAATTATTATTTAATTTTAAGTGCCGACCACGAGGAAATTTTTAAATAAATTTTCATGTTGACATTTATACTGCGTGGATGACAATTGTGCAAAAAATATTTATTGGTTTGTAAGTTTTTTTTCTTTTCGATGTAATAATCTAAAAGTTTTTCCCTAATTCTACTACAGTTGTCTGTTTTATTCCCCTTGCAGTTAATTCCCATAACGAAAGTCGATTCCCTATCCCCCCGTATTCTAGAGAGTCGCTTGATGGCTGCTGCTGTCGTTTCACGAGGTGGGGGAAAACAAGCCTTGTCCACCTAATATTCATTCAACGAAGTTTATATGCAGGAATATGTCGAGCTTAAAAATTGGTAAGACATATTATTATCAATTCTGTTAAATATTTATCGTAGATATTACTTACTGTAATATTTGATAAGTATCATAAAGTTTGGCTATTCCATTGATCAGTATTTTAGATGATTTTGCTGTCACATTGATAAGTTATTTATGCTCAAACAAATCATTTATTATCATTATTATTATTAATGTTTCATTATTGAAATATTTACAATTTTTTTTTTTTTTTTTTTTTTTTTTTTTTTAGTTTATTAATCTTTTTTTTGTAATTAATATACAATTGAAAAAATTTATATGGAAAATTTGTATAATTTTCTAAACGAATGCTTGTAATCGTTTAGACATTTACTGTATATGTTATGTAGTAACTATTGTAGAAATATAGTAACAAGTAATAAGCAATAACAAAAAAAGAAAGAAAAAAATATCTATGTAATTACATACTTATTTATTTATTTTAAATGACTCATTAGTTTATTATTTTATTCATGTAAATCATATTATTTTTGATTTTGTACTGCATGTTATAATTTGTTGCATGAATTATCAAAATTATTTTTGTGTATTTTTAAAAATTTTTATTTTTTAGTATATTATTACATGCTTTTCAATGTATAAATTAGAAAACAAAAATAATTTTTAAAAATGTGACTACTAAATAAATATATGAGTTTTATATTTTTAACAATTTTAAATCATAATCGGTGCAATTTCATAGTTAGAGATATTAACTTTATTCATGGACGATTAATCAAATTTAGTGATAATTTTATTATTATTATGAAATTTTGTTACTTGATTTTCTTTTTCATAAGTTATGGTTAAACACTTGTTTGGACTGATCTTACAAATGGATCCTGAATCAAAGCATCAATAGCCAGTTTATTCATCGGTAATTAAAACATACGAAAATGTTAATGTTGCAATAATATTAAAAGAAAAAAAAAATAAATAGAATAATATTTAATAAAAGGAGAAAAAAAAAATAAAGTATTGAAACAATATATTGTAAATCTGTAAAAGAACGATAATAATAAAAAATAAAAAAGTTAAAGAATGATTGTCTACACTACTCATGCCGACGACACAAGCAGATTTGCGATTCACACGAGTAGTACATGAGTAGAAGTCGTTTCTGACGGTCTCGGACATAAACATACTTACATTTGCACATGGCAGCCATGAAGCATGGTACGTTTCATTTTTGTAATTGCATTTTATTTGCTTTTATTTTATATTGCTTTTTTTTATTTATTTATTTATTAAAACTAAAGCATGATAGTTGTTTAAATAAATATTAAATAATATGATTAAAATAATAGTATTGAGTAATTAAAAAAATTAATTTTATTTATTATTTTCAGGCAAGACAAATCAAGACGACGTATGTTACGTTGTCGCAAAATACGATTATGGAGCTCAGGGAGCACAGGAGTTGGATTTACGGAAAAATGAACGTTATCTATTGTTAGATGATTCTAAACACTGGTGGAGAGTGCAGAGTGCACGCGGGCAAGCTGGGTACGTGCCGAGTAATTATGTTAAAAAGGAAAAACCGTCCCTGTTTGACAGTATAAAAAAGAAGGTTAAAAAGGGTTCGGGTTCGAAAACCTTACCGTCCGGTAATTCACCTTCACGTGCTGTCGAATCACCAATAATGGCACGAAGATTACCAGCCGATCCTAGTGAAGCAATAGGTACAGCGGTTGTTAAGTACAACTATCAAGCACAACAAGCAGATGAGTTGTCGCTGGTCAAGGGCACGCGAATCCTCATACTTGAGAAAAGCAACGATGGCTGGTGGAGAGGCCAAAGTGGCACTCAGGCGGGCTGGTTTCCCTCCAACTACACTCAAGAAGAGGGTGACGCTGACGATACGCTGCATACGTATGCTATGGCAGAAAACGTTCTTGACATTGTTGTCGCTCTCTACTCTTTTTCGTCTAACAACGACCAAGAGCTTTCTTTTGAAAAAGGTGACCGACTAGAGATCCTTGATCGTCCTCCAGCAGATCCTGAGTGGTATAAAGCGAGAAACGGACAAGGTCAAATTGGTCTTGTACCACGCAATTATTTACAAGAGCTCAGTGAATATTTGACTCAACCATATCGCGATCGTGGCATGACGACTAGTGAAATTAGCACTGGAGACTCACTTGAACGAAGGCCTGATCCTGGAGATCGACCGCATCTTATTGGTAAACCCTGGTATTACGGCAGCATAACAAGATCTCAATGTGACACTCTTCTTAATCAACATGGCCACGACGGCGACTTTCTTATTAGAGATAGTGAAACTAATGTAAGTTGACTTGTTTAATTTTATTTTTTTAATAATTATAATAAATCGCGTTATTAATGCCAAAAGGGCGCACCTCAACATTTAAAAAAATTTTTTTTCACTCCAACTAACTTGAAAATGTTTATAACATTTAGATCTGTAAGAAAAGTGAATAAAAATTTTTTTTTGTATACGCCCTTTTGGCTCTAAGACAAAAAAATTCTGAAGTCAAAAGGGCGTATCATTTTTTTTTTTAGTCATAATTAATTATTAGCCTTAAAAAAAAAAAAGAAAAATTATAACACTGGTAAAAATAATGACTCTTCTACTCATTTTATTTGAAGAGAATATGTATTTGATTAAAGAAGAAGAAAATATCAATTTAGCTAGGCACTATTCCGATGCCGTCTCCATATCTTTTGCTTCTAAAAGTAAAAAATAATAAATATATATTTTTTATAAATCTAAAATATTTTAATCTTGAAACAAATTCTTCAGTTGTTACCATCATCAAAGCACAGATTTTTGGATATCGATGGTATTTTTTGGAACTGTGCCTGACGTACAAAAATGAATAGAAATGAAAATTTTAATTGAATCAAATAAATTTTTCTTCAAATAGAATGATATTGTTATTTTGGTTTTTTTTTTTTAAATTCAAATACATATTGTTTTTAAATAAAATGAGCTGAAAAATCATTATTTTTGCCGGTGTTATAACTTTTTTTTTTTTTAAGGCTAATAATTGATTACGATTAAAAAAAATCATACGCCTTTTTGGCTTTAAAATTTTCTTATCTTAGAGCCAAAAGGGCGTATACAAAAAAAAATTTTTTTATTCACTTTTCTTACAGATCTGAATGTTATAAACATTTTTAGCGCTGCAAATCCAAAAGGGCGTAAATGTTGAGATGTGCCCTTTTGGTATTAGTAACGCGAAATATATATTTATTTATTTGTTAATAATTTTTATTTTTATAGATGGGAGATTATTCAGTTTCATTAAAAGCACCTGGACGAAATAAACATTTTAGGGTACACGTTGAAGGGGCACTTTATTGTATTGGCCAAAGAAAATTTCATACACTTGATCAATTAGTTGATCATTATCAACGAGCGCCAATTTATACCAATAAGCAGGGTGAAAAATTATACTTGGTGCGTCCCCTGCCTAAAGGTAATTCTAATAGCAACGGTTGCTAGATAAAACAAAATAATAAATGATAAAAGTCGCATTAGCGTTCTTCAATGGATTGTCAATGCAGATTACCCGCCATGCCTAGTAATATCAATATCTCGTATGTTTATACATAACAATTAACATGATTGGTAAAAATTTTATCTATTAGTGTTTTTATTATTTTATAAAACTATTGCTAATTAATTTATTATTATAAGTAAGTAATAATCTAATAATGCAATGATCTTGTTGGAGCTTCCAACTTTTTAGCAAAACAAATAAAAAAGAAGAAAAAAAAAAAATTCGTAAAAAAAATTTTTAATAAAATTTATATACGAAAAATAACATTTAAGCTATTACAGCAACGTGATATCTATTAATAGTTAACACGAAGGCTTCTCTAATCTCTCATTTTTATATCAATCAATGTAATTGTAATACAGTGATACGACTGATCATGTTATCATTATTAATATATTATTAAAAAAAAATAACATAGCCTGCAAGTGTAACAATTATTATATACGCTGATACTATATTTAATGATATGGATCTAGCGATTTTTGATTAAAGAGAAAAACAAAGACTAAGTGTTCATTTGTGATTTTGTATTTATTAGAAAGTTTTTAAGTAAATAAATCATATTTAAGTGTGATTCATCATCTTCCGAACAACTTTTATTATTTTATAATTGTTCTTATCACTTAATTTAAAAATAATGTAAAAATAGAGATACTGCAATATAAAGAAATTAATTTTAAATTGGTAACAAATATTAATCTTTATTTAACGTGTATTATTTTATACATAAATAAATCATATTTTAATTATATTATAATATAATATGAATAAAAGAATGACAGTCATGGAAGAAAAAGTGCTTAATAAATAATGGAAAAAAAAAGAAATAAAAATTAATGGCACTAAATGCCGTTAAAAATTATGTAATGGAATCCACCTACACTACATGTTTGTTTAGCGTTATATTCTCAAGTTTGTTCAAAAACGTAAAATTTAATAATCATAAAAAGGGATTGTTCGAACTTCTTGTTGAATTTCCAACTCCGGTACCGACCTATGAGAAAAAAAAAAAAAACAAAACATTTTATCGAGTATTCAAATTATGATAACACATATAGTATTATCAGTACACATGCAAACCTTTTGTTTTTTATTAAAATTATACGGACAGTATACATTACTCACCATAAAAGGATTTGCCTGATAAAGTGGTACAGTTGGATGCCAGGCTTTTTCGGAGAGCGGAGTCATCATTTGACTAGATGCAAGTACATCCGTACTATTTGGAGTATTAAATCCTGTTCATCAAAATTTATTTAAAATATGTATGTACTAGAATTTAATATGCGCGCGCCTGAATATAAAGTTTGCATAAATTTTCATGCTTATGATATATTCGATCAATCACATCACGAATAAATTAATGCCACATATATTTTATCTCAATTTTATATTAGGATTTTATGTTTTTAAAGAGCATATAAATTTGTTTTTATATTTAAAATAAATTTCAATTTTCTAACATTTAAAAAGCTTAAAAATTTGAAGATAAAAAATTCTAAAACTGAATTCAAAATCGATTATTTATAATAATAATAATAATTAATAAATAATACAACTTACCGTTGGTTGTGGAGCACAGCGTTGAGTTAAATGGATTTGCAGAATTGTAGTAAGTATTATCCAAAGATTGCGTGTTATTATTGTTGATATTATTATTGTTGTTGGTATTATTATTATTATTATTATTATTATTATTATTGCTATTATTAATCGCATGAATTGATGGTTTCCACAAATCATTTCCCGTAAATGGATTAGAAATAAAATGATTTGTTTGATCCATGTTTGTCCAAAATGAATTTGCTGCTGTATCGTAAGATTTAAAAAAAATTATTAAATCCTTTGTGATCGATTGATTTTAATTAATATATAAATGTAGTACTTACTGTTTGTGTTACTTGCAATCCATGTCGATGCGACATTAGGAGCCTGCGTGTCTTCTCTCAATTGAGTTTTTTTCATCATTGAATCCAAGTCCTTCAACGCAGCGTATCGGTCTTCGGAAGGTGGTGAGTTAACGCCATTAAAGTTGGATAAAAATTTTCCAGTTGAATTGAATGCATTTGATAAATCTTAATGAAAAATTACAATAATACAGATCATTCTTTCGAAAAATAAAAAGCAAAAATAAATTGATTTTTTTTTCAGCTTACTTTTAGGAGATTCAAACGCAGGATTATTATCAAAGTTAGCAAAAGAAGCTTGTGGTTGAATAGGCCCTGGAAATTGCGATGCTGGTGTAGAATTAACAAAAGGATCAGGTACTTGACTAAAATCAGCTACGAAATCTGCAGTAAATGTCGGAGTAGGCTCGGAAGTAGTCTTTTTCTTTTGATTAGGCGTACTTAACGTTGGTAACACGCCAACATGTGGCACTCGAGGTACATTAGTTTGATTTGATCGTAATGTTCTATCAGAAGATGCTGATTGTGCTTTTTGATTATTGCAATTGTCACTGGCCATCGATGGATCTAAATAATATCTTTTATGTTCATACTTAGCAGACATCAGATCTTTCATTTTTTGTTCATCTTTAGTGTCAATAGTAATCGGAGTATTCGAATTGACTAACCCCAACCAGATTTTTTTACAGTGTTCATTTCCACGTTGATTTATAAATTCAATCTCTTCAGCGGTGAATGTTGCCATAGAAATAGATTTAACTCTGTGTGGTGGTGTTAAGCCTCGCCTATAAATTTTAAAAATGAAAAAAATATAAAAAAAAAAAAATTAATTGGGAAATTTATTTATTTGATTTTAATCATTATTTTTTATTAAAAATGCATCATCAATATCGTTATCTAAGGTTGAAAAGATTTTTGATAATAAATTTATACAATTCTTGTATAAATTCAACAGCGAAATGCATAACTAATTTAAATAAATTCATTTGAAAATAAAATATTTATAAATTATTCATTATTAATTACTTTACAAGTCTAAGTCATGACGATATTGGAAAGTTTACATTTTATCACTACACCAAATGACTCAGGTGTATACTTATATACATTCATGATATTTAACGAACTTGGTTTCCTATTTCTGTCGACTAAGACGCTATGATTTCTAAGATTAATCTTAAACATGAATCATAAAAAAAATAAAAAAAAAAATTAAATACAACATTCATTTATTTAACATACTCGATTAAAAATAAGTGTTTATTTTTATTTCTAAAAAATAAATAAAAATGATATTAATAAAAATTGTTTTTGTATTGAATGAATAAATTTCTGTTGATCTTGCATATAACTGACGTATATGACCTTCTTTACGACTGTTGCAAAATACTTGAACAATGAAATAAGCTGTCAATTGACTTTTGAAAAGATTTAAAGATTTTTTTAATAATACTTTTCTATTCAACAATATTTTGCAACAAGTAAATTAAATAAATAAAAAAAAAAAAAAATTTAAAATGTTAAACGACGAAATATTTTTTCTTATATCACCTCTAATAAAATATATACCTAGACTACATAATTGAACGAATAGAAGTAAGATTGCTGAAAATAATTATATTATTTGAGTTATAATACAAGGAAATACTTACAGTAGACCAGAACATGAAGTACATACAAAAGAACCAATAGTCATATTGACGTATGTTGGTCCTCGTTGTCGACAATCAAAACATTCTTTATTACCAGGTTGTGATACTAATTCACGAAGTATTTTCAGATGTTTCTCATCTTGCTTTCTCTTTGCAGACGCCATTGTTTTATTCCTTTCTTATTTACAATAAAAACTATAGTATAATGTTACGTCCACAGCAGTCCTCGCGTAACTGACGATCTGAACGTGAACTGACTCAATGAGCTCAAGAATCGGTGGATAGAGAAAACCGAGAACGCACGAGTCGAAAAGAGAAAGAGATACCAGAGAAATACTACCATCTGAGTTAACGTTGTCTGCACAGGAAAAAAAAATATAAAAACAAAAAAAGAGAAAAAGTTACTCACAGCGTTCATAAACTCAGCCAATTCACACATTCCAACTTTTACAAATTAAAAATATTTACTTCGCTGATAATATTACTCAATGGAATTTAAAGTTTAAAATAAGTATATCACAAATAAGTTGGCGCTCAATAATATTACGTAAAATAAATATTTTTAAAAAGAACGCAAATTAAAGCTTTTTAATTATAAGCAACTGAAAAAAATATTTTGTGTTAAAAAATACAAAAAAAAAAAAAAAAAAAAAAAATTATTCACTTATCGTACTTACATGACAAATATGATAATATGACAGTACATTAGCTTTTAAAAATAACAAAAATATTTAACCATAAAAAAGATTAAATGCATTTTTATTACACATCTTAAGCGCAAATGTGTTGAGTGTGTGTTTTATGATATAGTTTTAAAGCTTTCGAATGATTTACTGACACTAAATCATTTCATGATCATTTCTCCTTTTTTTTTTATTGAGCTTAAAATAGAATGAAATTTACACCTTTATACAGACAAATTGGTGATAAATGAATATTTTAATTTATAAACAATAAAATCTGGGCTAAAATAATTTTTATTAAGTATGATAAAAAAATTATGAATGAGTATAACTAGATATGTGGCACATATGTAAAATTTCTAAACATAATAATTGCGCAGAATGTCTTTCTTGCTCTTGTTAGTGATTTATGAAAAAGTTGTAACACAACTAAAAAAACTTTATAGACATTTTCCTTTTATCAATTTAATTTTTTCATTTATCTCCTAAAAAATAATACTTTTCTTAAAAATTTAGGACATAACTGTTTTCGGTTAAAATTATGAAAATGAAGTTTTTGTCAGATGACGTAGATAACGTTTAAAGGCCCTGGAAACAATTTTGACTATTTCCGAGAGGATGTCTGTATATAGATACATATGTGTGTGTAAATGTCCTATACTATCAAATGAATGTCACCGACTGATATTGGGTTTGGAACATTCGAAAGAGTTCTCAATTTACTCAATTTACATTTCCTGATAGATGGGAAAAAAAAATGTTTATCTTTTAGAAAAGTTTTAAATTATTTTTCCAATTAATTCAAAGATATGATCAGTTTTTTTTTTTTTTTTATTTTTAATAACGACAAACATCAGATATAATAAATATATTTGTTCGAAAAATATCGTTGAAAAATTTTCTAAATTATTTATTAAATAATTTTTTTATTATTCGACTAATTGATTTAAACGATGACAACAAAATTATTGAATAATTATTTTTTTAATTTAACTTATTAAAAAAATAAAAATAAATATGTTAATTTTTAGCATTCATAATATACAATTTTATATTTGGAAGTTGGTGAGGTTTTTCTTTAACTCGGTTAAATTCATGTACACAGGTACGATTATTCAAAGTAAAAATTTGTTCAAATTATTCAAATCCGTAAATTAAAAATTATAATTCACTGAATTATAAACATCCGACGAATTACATTTTAAATTAAATTAATGAGCTTTGGATGTACCTTACTAATATATATCTTAATTTTTTGTAATTATTTTTTCTGAAACTAACTTAAACGTTGTAGTAAAAGTTTTTATATGGCTTATTTCTTATTATGCAATTTCAACTTGAAACTGATTGAAAATTTATTATTTATTTATTTTAGTAATTTATGTTAATGAAGCAAATTATGTTTTCACGATTCTAGTATGTTAAGAATTAGACATTAGACATCAATAATGAAAACTGATTAAAAATTTTTGTTTAATACTTCAAGTGAGATAAAAAAAATTGATCACCTATTGTCATTGTAATCATTAAAAAATTAAATAGAATAATTCTGTATTTTACAGATTTGAGTCGGTCGTTTGTGAGCTCTTTTTTTTATCATTTCTCTAGCAAGTACTTGTGACAACTGGCGTGACGATGGTGCTAAGTTACTATTGCGGAAAAATGGCGGTCTAATTCGAAAAATGTACTTAATTTCCTAAATATAAATTATAAATTGAATCTTTGAAGTCCAAAGTAAAAAATTGTTAAAAGTAAATCGAAAACTTTAAAAAAGGAATCTAAGCCGAAAAAATTAGTTTGTCACATTATAATAGTTATTTTATACTTTTTGGTAAAACTTATCAATAAGTTGTTATGAATTTATATGATAACATAATAAAAGTCGCATTAAATTTTATTAAAGCTGATCATTTATTCAAAAATAGCATAGTAGCAAAATATTTATTAATCTCTGAATTATTTAAATCAGAGAAATAGTCATACTCTTCCAATTAAAATTAATAATAATAATTAAAAAAATACATCAGATAATTAATATGATTGACTTATTGTTGGACACATACGAGACTTTAGAAAAACTATAAAAAAAAAAAAAACAAAAACCTATAAATTAATGTTTAATAACTTTATAAAAAAATGTATTGTTGTCTGTATAATCTTGAATTAAAAAGGAAGTATAAAGTAAGGTTATATAGGAAATAAACCAGACATAATAAATCGATATTCTTAGAAAGTCAACTGTAAAAAATATCTGAAAATTTTATACTTATGCTTTTTTATTAAATTATTATGTTTTTTCAAAATACACAATAGTATAAATAGTTTACGAATTTTATCACCCAATGTTACGTTGTTACTTACATTTAGACAAATAAAAAAATTAATTTTATTAAAATTAGACTGAGTAAAAATAATATTTTACAATTTTCCAAATTTTTTTATAATTTTTGCGCAAGCGCGAGATTTAATGGTGATCTAGATTATACTTATGTATGTATATGTCTTATTCGGATAAGAGGGGATTGAGAGTAAGAGTTTTTGCATATGTAGTGGGGGTGTATTCAGACAGGCGCGAATGTCACTCGATCAATCGAATTCAAGTGGTGTGTTAACGTGTTTGTGAGTTACATTCAAGAATTATTCACGATATAATATTACTAAATTAAATAATTATAGTACTTAATAAGTACTATAAAATAATATATTTTCTCCAGTGGATGTAAGTTATTATTATACAGTGGGATAAATAAAACGCCAAGATGACGGTCATCACTAAAGCTATTGGCGAAAAGAAGCCTGTGGATAAAATGGAGCAGCCATTGGTTTGTATTTATCCAGACAATAGACTCATCAATTTAATAACCGATTTTTTATGGATGTTTATGATAGTTATTGAATAAAATTTATGGTCTTTAGAAGAAAAAATTATAATAAAAAATATTACATATCAAAATTACTCCAAATTTAGTTGATTGTTTGGATAAATATTTTGAATGTTAAAATAATCTCTGAAGACATAATTATTCGCGCATACATAATATACATGCATATATTTTTATTTTGTATACTCTATTGTTAAAATTTATTATTCAATTAAGTAATTATCTTTTAATTGTATGAAATTAATCAATAATTTGAGAGTATACTTATTAAATTGTTACCATATAATGTGCGATGTCGTTTTCATATTATTGTAAAAGATAAAAATTTCTAATAATAACCGCGGAAGTTATTTAGATATTTTTTATATATAAAATGCAGTAGGGCGTTGTTGGAAGTACCATAAACGATTATTTAATCTGAATTATCATAAAATATGTATAAATTGATATCGTATATCATAGGATAAATAATCATACTGGAAAATTTTTATTAAAAGTAAATTTTTTTTTTTAATAGCACAATCCTCAGGGTGATGTAGAATCGCAAAGTTCTCAACAACAGCAACAGCGAGATATGGGAAGACATTCACACTATTTAATATTGCGAAGAGCTAATTTTACTTCTAAGTCTATGACACTTTACTGCCTATTATTTACGGCCCTACTGGGTATGAGTATTGGTGTACTTGGTGGTATATGTATTTACAGGCGTTATGCTCGCGAACAGATGCATAGATTCCGCACTGGATGGTACAGCATTCCATACGAACGCATGGATAATAAATTGCCATTTGTTAGTGATGAATTGTCAGCCGGGGTTCCATCTGATAGTGATCTATTCAAAAGTCTTGCCAGAGATACGGAACAAGAGGCTCTTGTTCTTGATAGATCTGCGCAAAATACTATACGTAATTTCTTCCAAGATTCAAGCAAAGACTTTTTTCAAGAATGTTTTGAAATGGATTTAGAAAACGGACATTATGAAGGAATTGAAGTACCAGACTTCCGTGATGGACGTCAAGGACGTTTTATACACGATTTCAATATTGTATATTGTTTTTTTTTTTTTTTTTTTTTTTTGTTGATAATTTATACTTGATTCGTAACTGATTAATTTTTATCTAAATCTGTTTGTTTATTTTTATTTTCAGAATCTAACCGGAATTATTGATCTTGATGGTCATTCTTGTTTTGTTATGGCACTTGATCGTGATAAAGTTTTACCACCGAAAAATATGTACGATTTGTTAAACAAAATGTACAATGGTAAATGATATAGATTAAAATATAAATTTTCAATTTTTTATACATTGTTTGCAAATGAGATTCTTTATTTTTCTTTAGGGTACTATGAAGTTAATACAAAAGTTGTACGTGAAACAATGAAAGCTGTATTTCCAGCTATTTGTGATCGTTCTACCGTAGGGACATACATTGCACGTGAATGTAAACAAATGCCAATATATACTCTTGAAAAAGTAAATAATACTGGTAAGTGTAATTTAGATCGCAAACCACGAGCATAGAGATTTGGTCCTAGATAGATATTTTAATAAGATACTTGGTAGATATTTAAGTCCCGGGAAAGTATTGATAATACCCTAGAAATTTTTAAGCTCTATATCTATCAATTTAAAAAAAAAAAAATATTACTCAAACAAATAAAATCTTTAGTATTCTCAGATTTAGCTAATTAATCTAAAAATTGAGAAACTTAATCGTTTTCTTCGAAATTTTACTGTTTAACTATAGTATAAATTTAGAATATTCGTAAATTTTAGATTGGGCTCGTGCAAGTTTACTAAGCTCTTGGGAGATCTTAGCAGATCATGTACCAAAAACTAAAAGTAACTACATTCTCTCTAAAGAATATCTATAAGAAAACAATGCAAGGAATACTAATCTTAGCTCAGTCCAGCGAAGAACTTAGTAAACTTAAACGAGCCCATTAATTTTTATAGAATTTTTGAAAAATTATTTTATTTTTTTAACTCTGGCAAATCTTACTGAAATTTTATATGTGATAAAATTGCATATTCAGATTTAAAAAATTATTTTTATAACTTACATTTATAAATTCCGTAATTTTATTTATTAATGGATTGATTGAAATATTTTTCTGGGCCTAATTCAAAATGCTTATTAAAATTTCTTATTATTAATGATATTAAAAGTTTTAAGATTTCTTTAGTTAGTAAATAATAACTACTTTAATATTTTTAGCTGGAATAGTAAAACGAAGTATTGATGGTGTTATATTTGGACATTTTGCTGGTACAAATATTATTGAATATGATATATCAAATATGGCAGAAGTGCAAGAGGAGACACGTAAAGATGATTAAATATTAGATAAATTAATCACGTAATATATGTTACAGTAGAATATTTGTACTCTTATGCTCTTTCTGCATCTAAGTCACAAAAATGTAGAAATTTTATATAATAGTTACACTATGAATGTAGAGTGCTCACATTACAATTTATTTCGTTGTTTTTATATTTATTTATATTTGAGTTTTGTATTTGATTTCCGAGTATATTATATTAATATTGATCGTAATTTACAAGTTACTATCACAAAATTAGTAAAACAAAAAAAAAATTTGAAAACAATATTAGATATAATCATGTAACGTGTGATCAACTAGTAGCATACTGAATTATATAATGCAAGGCTGAATTAACTATTATTAATTATTTTATCCCAATGCGCGAGTATCGATCATTTGTAAAAATACAAATTTAATCTTTATTTGATAAATAATCATGATCTATTTATTGTATATAATACAAATATGTAATTTTTATTTTGAATTTTCGTACATATATGAATTTTACCCTGCTTCACGTCAGAAATTATGGGCAATTTTAAGAGTCCAACTCCCCAAATTGACACAAAAATAAAAAATAAAATATTCAGAATTTATAATATGCTAATATGCTCTTTCATTCCATAGTTTTAAGAAAAAAATATCCAAAGTAATATTAGTTTAAAGACAACTATTGAGGTAATATAATCTTAATTTATTTTAACGTTTATATATACTATTTGAATAAATGTATCTCTTATAACAAATTTATAAATGTAAAAGTAACAAAAATATAAAACACTGTAAAGTGATGAATAAATATTAATGTTAAATAAATAATATTAAATGTTTTTTATTATTAGATTATAATTTATAATATTATGTTAAATTCAATTTATATGAAATAGTTAGGTATTATTCAGTCAAGAAAATATTGTTAAATATTGACTTATCTAATTACTCAATTGTCAAGTGATAGACATCAAATCTGATATAGCTTTTTGTCGTAAATTATACAATTTCTTCACCCATTTGTCATAACGTACTGTTTGATCCATTAAAATCTATAACAAAGAAAACATTGTTATTCATTTAAAAAAATTTTTAGATCCTCGGCATTGAAATTATGAATTTTTATGTCTATTTATCTAAATAATACATGAAAATTAGTTGATCTCTTCAATAAATTTTACTTAAAATTGACAGTTTGAAATTTATAAAAAAATTTGCAATTTTTTTGTCAGTTGGATAATTTTAGAAAGAGGTAATTATAGATCAATGTGGATTAGATATTAAAAACTGATTGGTTAATGTCGGAGATGAAATGATTGATTGGTCTTAAATTGTCTAATTTTAACTTATTATAGACGTTAATACTTAAATTCTATGCAGGAAATTACCAACAATATTCAGAATATCATTTTTGTATAATTAAATGCTTACCGAGCTATGAAATATACTTTCGGAGACAACTGAAGGATTAGATACTATTGGTACTTTAACATTGTCACCTGTGAGATCAATTACATGGTTTTTAATTAATTTTTTTTCTTTTACTTGGGCGTTGGAAGTAAATTTTTTCGGTACAAAACTGTCAGCATTAATTTCTTCTAATATAGATTCCTTAATTCGTGGTTCGATTGTAAATTCATCTGTAAAGGAAAATCAAACATCAATTCACAGATTTTAGAATGAAGAAATTAGTAGTAGGCGAGTATAGCATGAAAGTAAACTAATAAATATAAAATAAAAGTTTTATGGTTCTCAATATAACGTCACATTGCAATTTATATTAATTTCTTCTTATGTCCATTATGATGTAATGTTTCCTTAAAATAATTTTCAATGTTTAATACTGGTAATGCGCTTTAACATCAACTGGTTAAAAATTAATTATTAGCTTTCTTATACTAATAAGGAATGCGTTCAGTTCGATTATGAATCGAGTGACTTTACTTTTGTTGATTTGAAAAAATTTTGCATATTTAATAAAAAGGCAGGCACTGCAGAAAAAATTGATTCATTCATACAATGGAATTAGAATCCTGAGATCATAATAAAACTTCAATGTATGGTCGCAATTTTTTAATTAAATACTCTTATCTTAAAAAGTGAATTGGTAATTTATGTGAAATATTTTCTTATTTTATGTGCTGTTAGATATAAATGTAACATATATTGTGAAAAAGAATTTATATATTTTTTTCAATGATTAAATTTTCTTATATAATTCTAAATGTAGTTCAATCTTTTTTTACTTTTTTGTGACAATATGCTATTGACAAACTTACAAAAAAATATTGGTTAAAACGTTATTGCTTATGAACTACTATCAATCAAATGACTATGTGATCAAATCAACAATTTAATTGCCAGTTTTACAATTTGAAAATGTTCTGGCACGTTAAGTAATTTTAAGAGTTTCTATAGAGTATTTAAAAATTATAAAAGTAACTTTTTTGATATTATGGAAAAAATATAACCATTAAATCTTTGACGAAAGTCAGAAATGGAGTATGAATAAAAAAAACATAATCAAAAAGTGATGTTAAGATGTCATCATGAAGAAGAAGAAGAAGAAGAAGAAGAAGAAGAATGTTCTAACAATATCAAATATTTTCAATTTTTGTTTAAAAAATCATTCAACTACAATGGAAACCTAGACGAATGAAGTCCTATTGTATAATATAGTTAGTTTAAAAAATAATAAAGTTAATGAATAACAGGATTTATCCTGTAGAAAAATTAAAAAATATAAAGCTATATCTACCTTTAACTGGAATATTAACAGCTTTTTCTAATGGAATTTTAATATTAGAATGAACGCTACTTGAGCGACTTGTTGACTTTTCCCGAGATGGTGATCGTATCTTTCTACTATTTGATCGCACAGGTGATATCGACTTGGATCTTCGTCGATCTTTATATCTCCGTTTGTCTTTACTTTTAGAACTTCCTGGAGAAGATCTGTAACTACTTTTAGGTCGAGGATCGTCACGGCTTCTTGAGCGAGATCTATATCGACGTCGAGATTTAGAATATTTTGAAGATCGTTTATGATTTGAAGAGCTGTTGGATGAATCTGAACTGCTCGATCTAAAATTGAATAAAATAATTAATAAATATAATTCATGAAAAAAATTATAAATTAAATAAAGTCTAACCTGGATCGTCGATAATGCTTTTTTCGGTATTTATTACTTCGGTCTGAATCTGAATCACTTGGCATTGTTGTTTATATTATGTCAATAAAAATGTTGAAAATTTATGAAAAAAATTATATTATTTTACAGCGGATTAAAACCAGAAATTTTCTCTTGAAGAAGAAATTTTTATGTATTGATATTATTTATATAAATGTATAAACTTTTAGTTAACATTTTACACAAACTTCCTAACTTTATGGTGACAATAACCCCAGTCCCACACTTGATATTTTCAAAGTAAATAATCGAGTGAAAAATAAATCATCTAAATAAGTTGATTTCAAATGCAAACAGATGTCGCCACATACATTGAGCAAAACCGGGTTAGTACTGCTTTGAGAATTTTATATTGAGGTCGGAGAGGTAGTATGTATATACATATAGATATTGTGCTAATAATCTCGCTTTTATTTATAGACGAATTTATTTTATAGTCTGAGCGTGGTAACTAAGTAGGGTAGGGAGAGTAAAGTTGTCCTAAGCAGAGAATGGTCTTAAATTTTGTAAAGGGAGTAAGGAAATTATAGATTAAATAACGATAGTAGAAAGACCACAATTTTGTTGAAACGATTATTTTCAAGAGTATTCTCTCCATATTTGGAACCCTCGAAACGTGTCAGAGATTCTAATCGCACACTGTAGGCTCTAAAGGAAAAGAAAGCCCAATCACACTTTTAAATCCAAAGGTTTTAGTATTACATTTTATAGTATGAAAATAGGAAGCAAAAAAAAAATGAAACGGATCCCCGCTATCCCATATCCCATGTGTATACACGTATTGATGACTACAATTTATATGAAAATGTAAATGATACTAAAGTCAGCAGACATCTGGCAATTTTTTGAATTTTTATAGCAAATCAATTATTTTCAAAAAACATTTCTAAAAATTTGCACTTGCAATTTTTTTAATTTCTATGCGTAGAATTTTTTTTTCATATTAATTGAATTGTTATAAAAATCCAAAAAGTTGTCCGAACAGTCAATTTCAGTATATACCCGACTAGAAACTTCAGTGAGGCAGTGATTCGGCGCAAGTTAGGCATGCCGAATTCCAAACTTGCGCCAAGTGAGGCATCCAAACCAGACTGAAGTTTGGGACGTAACGCAGTTGCAAATTTGGGCCTAACTTGGCTTCCGACTTAGGCAGCAATTTGGAAACCAAATTCGCAAAGAAGAATCTAAATTTAATTATTTCTTCGTTTTTATCTTTTTTATTATAAAGCGAAAATTAATAATAACAAATGCTTATTTTTTTATCTACTTTTACTATTTTAAGTATAAATATTGAAATTAGGACTAAATTTTTCAAATAAACGAATAAAAAAAAAAAAATTATTTTTTTTCTTTTATTTAATATTATTTTTCATTATTTTTTCGGTAATTATTTTTTTTTGATTTTAGCGCTTTTTTTAATGCGAAGAAGTTTTTTTCGATTGGGGGATTTTATAAGTCAAGGAGGAAGGAGTTGATGGAGGAGTTAGATACATTAGTCACACACAACACTTAAATTTACTTCACACTCACCTTAAAAGTAATTATAATTAATAATTATCAATTATTTAAAATATGTCGAACGCGAGACTCAAACCTGTACCCGACGCACGAGAGCCCTGTACCATACCGCGACGCTACGCCGATGATGAGCGATCTCTTGCCTCAAGACACTTATAAGCAAGACCAATGTTCGACTTGCCTAATTTAAAACGAATAAGATTCGAATTGGGCTAGCCTAAGTTCGGAAAGCCAAGTTCGCTCCAAACTGATTTTTCGACATTCCTTACTAATGAACTAAAAGGCTTGACCTTAGAAAGATTTGAAGCCAAATATCTTCCCTCACTCCGTTTTAGAGTACTTTGGCAAGAAACGCCGAAGTCCGGCAAATGTTTGGAATACCTAACTTGCAGGAAATTATAAAATCCAAAGGCTTACAAAAGTTCGGTTTACCAAACTTAAAGGTGACTAGGGACATTTATGGCAAGCCAAACTTCGGCAAATCTTTGGTTATCGTTACTTCCAACTAGTCGGGCATTCCAAAGGTTCGCCGAAGTTCGGCTTGCCATAGATGTCCCAAATTACACGCAAATTTGGTATGGCGATCTTCGTTTTGCCTAACGTGGATTTAAGAAGGCGTAAATTAGGCTTGCCTAAGTTAGGCAAGCCAAACTTGCCCCTCACTAATTCTTCGGCATTCCTCACTACAATTTCTAGTCGGGATCCTAAACGTAAAAGATTAATTTTTTTACATTATGATAAAAATAACGAATTCAGTTTATAGGTAAGTCGTGACTTTTAAAATCATGTGTTAACGTTTCTTTAATTAATTCTTATATTTTAACTGATAAACTGTGTACGGCTTTGATATATGTCTTGCCAAATCTTGATTTTTTCAATCTGCTTTGGAAAGACTTTTTATTTTCTCTAGTTTAGTTTTCGCAAACATAAAAGAACACAAAAAAACATAAAAGAAAGAAAATTTTCGTGTCATTTTAAGCTCAAAGAGATAGATTTTCTATGTTTTTGAGCTCTTCGAGCCCAAAAGTCTGATAGAGGTTTAATAAAACACTATTCTTAAAATTTAAAAACCGCAATAACTTTTGAATGAATGAACCGATTATTCACGAGGTTGGCGGCATTCAACGCAATTTTTTAAGCCTCAACAAGAGTCTGTAAGTTTGAATTGATTAAACTAGGTATTTCGGAGTAATTTCGAAAAAACACTTTTTTCGATTTTCTTTCGACAACGATAACTCACGAACGAATAACCGATTTTAACCGGACTGGCGGCAATCGACGTGGTTTTTTTTTTTTTATAGAGGTTAAGAGCTAATTAGTTTTTAGAATCGATCGGTTGAGCCGTTCAGAAGATATTTCAAAAAAACAAATTTTTGGAAATTTAGTTTTTGAGATTTCTCAAAATTTATTGACTTTAATTCTTTGAACTAGTATCAGAAATCTAAGGGCAATGGAACTCTTTAGAACTCCGCTTATTTCGATCGAATCGGGTAAGCCGTTCAAAAGTTATGAGAGATTTACATTCATCAACAATCTATATGTTGTAGCTGGTCTCGTGTCGTAATTTGGAAATCATTAATTGTTCTAGTATTTTGTCTTTAAATTACATATTTTTTTTAGTATTCATCCAAGCAATCTACCTATCAATATCGGGTGTGGCCGAATGGCGTTTTTTAGTACAAAGACTTAAGTTTATTGGAAAAAAGTTTTTTTCTTCAGCTAAGCCATTATATGGACTGGATAGTTCGGTTATTGTTTGAACTTTCTCTTTTTTATTTTTTTGTACGTCAACTTTTCACGAGAATATCCGTCTTTGAATGAAAAAGGATTCTTGTGACTCGCGATTGGTTTACCGCAAGTATATAAAATGTTACGTATAAAATTAAAGCTTATATTTTATACCAAATAAATGAGTTACTCAAATAAATTGTGAATAAAAGTTTAGTTCACAATTAATAAATGCAAGACTAATAATAGATGTTGCATTGAGTAAAAAACCATGAGGTTGAGTTTATCTTTAATTTATTTTAAGTAAAGAAATGCGACTGTGCGCTACAAAGTATGTATATAAGTATAACTAACTTAAAGAAAATACAAAAATTGTTACAAGGAGAGTAAGAACTAGGTGTTACAAGTACAAGCAGAAAAAATTAGGAGTAGGAATATTTGGTAACGAATAGTTAACGAGGAAATAATTTGGAGGCGGGATAGTTGCAAACTATGCAGTTTTGAAAAATAAGCAGGAAAGGGAATAGGGATGCTAAGATTTTTACCTGGATGGGCGATACGTTTACAGAAAATATTTCTAAACTTAGTTAGCAATTAAAAGATTAAAAATATAAAATTTACCAAGAGTAAAAACCCAGAGTAATATAACCCAGGTATCAAATTTATGACCATGAGCAGATTAAAAATTATTTAAGAAGATATCCCAAAAATTAGCATTAAAAATTCATTTTCTATTCTAAAGCTAGAAAATAACAAAAATATAAAAAGGCAAAAAATTGTCTAGACTGCTATTGCAATACATAGACTGGGAAATTTACACTCATAAATAAAGTTGAACAAATGAATGAACCTTTTTTTCTAGATAACTTAAAATACTTAAGAATACGGGTTTGAATTTAAAATAAAATATATTATTTACCAATTTAAATAATAATTTTGACTATAGAATAAAAAATATAAAATTGTTTAATTAATTAAAATTTTTCTAATAAAACTAATCGTACGACGGAACAATTCTTTTGTTATTCTTAACCACTGTTATCTTAGCAACTAATGGTCGTACAGAAAATTCAAGGGCAGTTTCGGAAGCTGGAATAAATTTCCTACAAAATTCTTCTCTAACTTTTTCCCTTAAAGGACAATTGTTTCGGTAAATGGACCGTATCTTTGTGGACATTGATGGGGATGCTAATGTTACCAGGAATTTCAACAGCTCAATGTACTCCTAATAGTCCGATGAATTTAGAGATCGATCTGTTGGATAATTTCTCGGGGCTCATTGATTAAAGTTTTGAAAATAATTAAAGAAGCAAAATTTACGCTGAAATGAACATTTTTTAACGTCGTTGAAAGAGGCTGAATAAAAATTTTGTTTTGTTTTGTTTTGTTATTTTTTCATTGATAAATTAAGAAATCAGCGAAGAAAAATTGAAAAAAACATTTCATATAATTTTTTTTATTTCGAAGTCGAGTGCAATCTTTTTACGACTTTTTCAAAACAAATTGTGATAGAAAAAAACGAAATTTTGCGTAAGTAAACTTTTTATTTATATTTTTAAATTAACAAAAATAATATATTTATAATAAAAGCTCTTCGGGTATTTTCCTGTATTAGTAATTATCATTTCTACAAAGATGACCAGTCACTTTCATGGAATACTTGTTTTAATTTTCTATTTTAAGGAAAAACCTTTTGTCATTAAGGGTAACTAACTCAGTGACTAGTAACTACTAATCCTAAGGTAATATTTTTTCTGGGGTAGTTAATTACAGGACTAAG